CAACAGCTGCTACAAGCCAGATGGAGCTTTGCCTCACAACTGGTGCAAACATCTGTCCAAAGTCCCTACCAGGGACCTGAGTGAACCCTTTCACCATGAAACATGCCTTCTCAACTGGGCTGCCTTTGCTGTTGCCTTCTTTATATTCCAGAACCAGCAGCTTCCTATGGCATGACATCCTGGAGGGAGAGGAATGAGACTATAGACATTCATGTTTTTCAGCTGCACTATCTCTTTATCCATAGTCACATGCCACCTGGGGGTGTCACCATGACAGACCACCTCATCATAAGTGGCAGGAGGAATCGAGAGATTGTAAGAAGGGTCAGCTGGATCATGACATGTACCACTCTGTATTGCAAGGTGAGCATGCTCTGAGACAACCAAGCCAACAATGGCAGAAGAGAGTGGACCAACTGAGGTATCAGGAGGCAAGTCAGGAGAGTCAGAGTCTGGCAGTTCTGTGAGAGGGGACAGCAGGCCATCTAAACACAAGTTGAGAGTAGATGGGGTAGTGGTAGTGATGGGAGAAACAGGCTGAGCATGCTGTACAGCCAGGTGCTCTTGCACATCCTGAAGGGACCTTGTGAATGCTCTTCCCACCTCTGTTTGTACCCTGACCCTAGTAGACTGACATGCCAGTTGAGGTTGTGGAGGAGATGTCGGGATGGAGGATAAGGGTGATGAGAGCAAGGGACTCAGGGGTTATGAATTGCTATCTGAATCCGAGCTGTCAGTAGTCATAGGTAATGACAGATCAGTCAACTTGGTCACAGTGGGCAATGTAGCAACATTTTCATCAAAGACAACATCCCTGGAATTAAAAAACTGTTTGGTGGTCTCATCATGTACCCTGTATGCCTTAACACTGGGTGGATAGCCCATGAACCTCGCCAATCTGGACTTGGGTCCTAGCTTCTGTTGAAGCTCCAGAGGGACATGAGTGAAGGCTCAGCAGCCCCAAACCCTCAGATGGCCAAGATATGGATGCATGCCATGTAACATTTCATAGGGTGTTACCCCATTTGGCAGCACACATGACCCTGTGCAATTATGCAGATAGGAAGCAGTAAGCAGGGCCTCCCCCCAGTATGCAAGTGGGAGCTGAGCAAGGTGTAGCATGGCCAGGACACATCCCTCCAGCATGCAGATGACCCATTCAGCAATGCTGTTTTGCTGGTGCATATATGGAGTGGAAAGACGGTGAGCAATCCCCTGCAAGTTGAGGGACTTCACAAAGGCATTGCTAAGGAACTCCCCTCCATTATCAGACTGTAGTGCCTTGACCTTGGCATTGTACTGCCTTTCCCAGTGAGTCTGAGTCAACCCCCAGGCCTTGAGGGCTTGATCCTTGCTGGCAAGTAGGTGTACATCCAGAACATGGGTGTAGTCATCAAGAACAACCATAAAGTACCATTTTCCATGCATGGTCTGGACAGGCATGGGTCCCCCAAGTCAGTGTGTACAAGCTCAAGAAAAGTAGTCGTGCATTTGGACAAGGGTTTAAATGGTGAGTGAGCATGTTTCCCAACAATACAAGACTTGCAGACTGACTCTGGACCAGGGAAGTCTACACTGACACCTTCAGCTATGGAGGAAAGCTGCCTCATGGCCCTCCCTCCAACATGACCTATCTGTGCATGCCACAGGTCAAAGGTTACCAGTACCTGAGTGAAGGCACTGAGGACAGGAGTCATAGTGAGTGGCAGTGGTGCATCAAAGCAGACAAACTGAAGGTCCAGGAAGCAGAGGTTGTTTGACTGTAGGGGTACACTGCCCAAGGGATGCCCATGGTGGGACAGCTCACAGCAAGCAGGATCGCCTTGGAAATTGCAGCCCCACCCCTGACAAAGCATCCAGCCCACAGAAACAAGGTGTAGTGTTGCTTGAGGGGCATGCAGACAGTTGGTGAGATGCACTTGATACCTGTCACTCCTGATGGTCAAAAACACAAGATACTCACCATGTCTGGCAGTAGGTAGGCATCTGTGATTTGCAGTCTGGACATTCACAGTAGAGTCTGCAACATAGGTGTGGAAGAAGGCACAGTCATGGACAAGGGTACAGGAAGTGCCTGAGTTGAGAAGGCTAGAGGCAGACAACATGCCTGTAGGGCCAGAGAGGGGTGTGCCACATCATTGCTGTCAGTGAGTTCAGTGATAACTGCACAGGTAAGGTCTCCAGGGTGAGCATCCCAGGGGGAAGGGGGGCCAACTGCAGCAGCAGCTATGGGAGTGGTCTGAGCAGGTTGAGTAGTGGGCTGAGTAGCAGGTGAGGGCATAGGGACTGCTGTCGCCACTGTGGTAGGCTTGGTGGAATCTTTATTGTCACCTTTACCTTTTCACCATGCAGGTTGCTGACCAGCCATTCCACCTCCAGGCTTGAAACAATGTGCCCAATCATGATTGCTGGCCCCGCATACAAGACCATCTCCAAGAGGCATGTCCATGTCACAGTAAGTGCCAGAAGGATTGTTGCATGTCCTGCAAAGACCCGTGGCTGGGTTTACATTGGGTGGACCAACTGAAGATGAGGCCATTGCCATGTTGACATACTCAGACCCAACTGATGACAAGGAAAGTTGTTGGACAAGACAGTGCGCTTCTGCTGCAATCATGACAGATACACTCTCAAACATAGTTGAACCTGTGGACAGTGCAGCAGAGACAGAAGAGCCTGCTTGGGAAGCAGAAGTTGTGGATGCTGTAGGAGCAGGGGCCTTAGTTGAGCAAGAGGTCTGTAGGAAGAGGCAAAAAGATGGCCAGGTGCCAGTGTCCAGAAGACCTTCTATAAGGTGAAAAATGGCCTCCTCATCAGAGTAGGATGCCCCCATGTGAATGAGGTCCTGTCAGGCAGCTAAATGTTCTGACAGGTACCAGGCTGCATCACCAGCATCTTTCATTTGCAGGCACAGAATCTTTGCATGAACAAGATGATGGGAGCTGACATCAATGTGGTCAAAATTGTCATGAAGAACCTTCCAGATGTCACAAGCAGTAGTGGACTGCTCTTGGGGAATGAGACATAAGACAGCTGGTGATAAATGATGGCATAGGATGTCCTTAGCTACAGCATCATCTTTGGACCACCTGAGAATGGCCTTTTTTTCAGCATCAGTGATTTTGGTCAGGTTTGCAGCCTGTGATCACTCAGAAGTGAACTCAACAGGGTCTAAAGGGTCTGTGCCATCACTAACATGACTATATGCGCCCTCATGATCTAAAGCCAGGAGTGTCTGAGTCTTCCAGGCAAAGAAGGTCGAGGCATCAGTGAGCTCAGGGATATGATCAAGTTTGCCCATGACAAGCACCAGGGATAATGCAAATATGTGGTAAAGATAGGTATATGCAGTATATGCACTGTGTATGCAGAATGTACAATCATGTCATTCTCAGTTGGTTTGAAGAGGGCTCATAACTTGTAGAGAAACTGACCAGACACACTCAGCATTGTAGACACAACAGCTATGATTAACTCTACCTGACCGGACATGCTACAAGAATGAGTACATAGACGGGTCCTCAGGGGCTATCGTACTCACCTCAGCGTTGTAGACACAACAGCTGAGGTGCAAAGCAACGCAAACAAACCTACAAGTACAGACGCGCGTAGTCACGTGACCGTTGACGCCAACAGTAACGTCAGTACCATAGATGGCAATCACACTGTGGCACACTTCAGTGTGACGCTTCGGAAGTGATCAGGGCGAACCCACCTCGGGAGAAATGCCATTTGTGACAAACCTTGCAACTCCTGTCGTTTTGAACTTGGCCGGTTTGAAACGCTGCCAGGACACTCATCTCTCAAGTAAATAGCTGCAATAAGGTATCAGCAGGTAGCTGAAAGTTTCATCTTTCTAGCTGTCTTGTGCCGATTGTGAAAAATCAAATATATCAGACAGTATTTGAGGATGACTGATAATCTTTGCAACTCTGGTTAAATGATAGTGGCAGGGCTCGATGAAGAAGAAGCTTGGCAGTGTCACCCGTGGCGTACACGACACTGCCATAGACACAAAGAGACTACGTGGGGTGCAGTTGACCATCCCAGCGTATCACTGTTATGGATGGGGGCGCTCATGATAGCGAGCCCATCGATCCTGCCCCGGGGAAGACCTGATTCCTGAAAGACCTCCCACACTTACCATGCCTGCGAAGACGTTCAACCATGTAAACACTGTCCGACACTGATGGGCAAGCTGAGTAACGATGGGTTAAAACTGAGCTCCTCGGGACCTCAGTAGACTTACCTGGAATCCTTCCTTTCATCGTAAGCAGATGAGGGGGCGACCAGTAACCGCCATTAACGGGAGGTCGCCACATATAATCTGTATGAAGTCGCGACGTCACACAAGGCTGCGGGCTCCTCACTGGCGCAAGCACCGATGCCACTATGAGGAATGACTCGATGAGGTAGACTTCCAGAGACTAGAGAAGTTCCAGCGAGTCGTGGCCCTTTTGAAGGCGATGCTTGTAGCAAGGACAAAACACTTACTGGCGTTCCCCTATATTCAAAAACCAGGTCCCGCTGCAATCCTCTGCCGTAGGAATAGGTTTTTGAAGTTAGGGTTGTACAGGTAACACCGCAGTACCTGAGGGAACGATTGTCTTCGGCATCGAGCCTTTGGTTTGCCCAGGGAAGCCTAGAGGTATCTTGATCATAATTGAAGTCGCAACACGCTTAGTCTTCATTGAAAACTTGTAGAGGCTTTCATTCTACGCCTCCTCAGAGGTATCAATCCTCATCTAAATCACAATCATCAGCATCTGCATAACTAGGTAGTACATACCGCTCGGTGGTACAACAGCCGTCGTTCTCTCAAATAACACGATCACGTGGATCACGTGATGAACGCGTCTGCGATCGATTGCTGGATAGGGGAATATTCTTGGCGTCTGTTCAACGGAGCCAACACACTACAAATATTGTCAGCCTCGCCAACCAGTATATAAAGAGGTGTGCGCTTGCCTGTTGTCCTCTCTTCATTACCATCACCATCCATGCCCCGTTGGGTCCCTCTGTGGCTTCTCGCTCAGTATATTCTTCTTCTCGTTGACTTGGGCGACCGACTGCGCGACACGTCCGTCTCTTGCTCGCCACGCCAGCCAATGGCATACAAAGAAGAGTTTGGCGATCTACGATCAAGTTACGACCTCGATACTGAAACGTTGGGCGTGAGTGCTGGACACTCGTTTATCTGCATCAGGGTGGCTGACCTCACCACGACAGAGGACAACAATCCCGCCCGGCGATCAAGCACGATATCTTCGTGAAGATCACGCGGAAAAATAGCCCTGGTCGGCTGCAAGCACGAAGCGATGGTAAAGTTTGGTGATCTCCGTTCAAGTTACTGGCCTCGATAGTCGAACGTCGTGTGGTAGGCATTCGTTTATCTGCATCAGGGTGGCTGACCCACAACAGACGATGACCGCCGTCTATGGTGGTGGCACTTCCGGACGACAATCCCGCTCGGCCATCAAGCAGTGAAACTCGCCCTGACGAATATTAGCCCCGATCGGCTACAAGCACGACACGATGACGGCCCCGACCGGCCTCAAGCACGACTACTCAACGCAGGGCCCCTTGTTGGGCAGGAGTACAAGGTGCGTACTTCCTTTGTGTGCGATACCGTCGATCCTATCGTGACCCGGCCCCGACAGGACTCTGGTATGATTGTAGTGTTCCGGCACGAAAAGTCGGCGGATCTAGTATAGACTTGCGTGATCGTAGTGTCCCGGCACGAGCAATCGGCGGGTCTAGTGTGGGTGTGACTTCAAGATCGTATCATTTCCTCAAGATGACCCGCTGCAGCGAACTGGTGAGTACTTTTTTCACTCTCTTTGAGGCCAGCTGCCTTTACCCGGGTTGGAAGGGCAGCGGTCGGGGTAGCGATTAAGCCCCCTGATGAGAGCTCTCGCAGGCTCGAAACCGTTCCCCCTTACCTCCAGCCTTATCCACCCCATCAGAGCATCATGACCAGCTCCTGACTGGTAAGCCATCGACTCATCAGGGACAGCTATATTGCGGTTCATGCTCTCCTGAATTATGTCGTACTCTTCTGTCACCGAACCATTAATACTATCGCATTTTTCTTGTCGAGAACTTCGAAGCAGTATAGTAACAGCGATGAGCTAGTGAACCTGTCATCGTGTTCGAGATGAAAGGTAACCCAATCAAAGATGACTCTCACCTGGGAATGCGGGTGAAGTGAGTGCAAAGTTTTGCGAATGGGGTGGGATGCTGGGATGAGGTAGGTACAACGTAACATTCAACAAGAACATTTCTCCATGCATACGCCGGAGGATGGCCAGATGGCCAGTCCTGTCTCTCGAAAAAAAGTCAGTCGCTAATCGAAGAGTCGCGAAGCCTTGAAACATGTCTCGAGGAACGGTATTGCATAAGTACGCACCATTACAACGTTGAAGACGCTGTTTTCTTGTGGTCATTCTATTATGGGAGGACGCGACGTGCTCAATCTCAAGCCACCTCATGGCGTCTGCGCAAGGCACACCACCCGCAGAGAAAGCCCGCAGAACGTAAATTGTGGAGTATCTCCTTGGCTGGGTACTACCAGTGCTTGCGGACGAGAAGATGACCTTGGAGGACACACGAAGACTGTTTTCAGAAGGCTGTAAACGGGTTTACATGAAAGGTCCAAGGATCGTTAGGACTAACGCCTACCGGGAAATGGTATGTCGTCAAATTGGAGACAGTGACGGACCCATATTCCTCAGCAAGTGCACGCAGTTGAGGCAGCTGCAAGTATGTACCAACAACTCGGAGTGACCATCTACGTACGGTAATGGAAGGACTCGGTCAGAATTCTGAGCGTCCGCCGCTGCGACTCAGCGTCATGCCAACACAACCGACTGAGTACCTGTCATGGACTTACGCATGCGCAATGGTTAAATCTGCTACCTTGCTCGAGATCGTTTCACACAGAACCGTTTCGACATAAACTGCATTCCTCATGATCATTTGGTAGAGCATGGCACATAACGAGAACATAGTGGGCATGCAGATTGGTAAAACAAAAGAAACGACTCCATCGACCACATAGTGCGAAAATTTAGGGAGCGAAGAGTGTGTTGAGGAAAGTCTCGCCGGCGGCACGGGGTTTGGCGGTCTTGGCCTTCTTCTTTTCTTTTTGAGCCTGGAGACGTTCTTGTCTGACTGTGGAGATTATCAGAATCGCTATGAGATAAGCAAATAAGAGGAAGCATGAAACGTACGCAGTTCGTGTCGGCGCAGAGTTTTCGCGTAGGGGTTCAGACGGAACAGGATGGCCTTGTTGACCAAGGGGTTCTTCTTTTGTGTCCAGGGACGCTTCTGGATCTTTGGACCGGCGGGGCGAACAACGGATTGGATCTCGGAGCTGTTAATGATGCCGGTGACATCAGGGTTCGAAATCTTGGCAGTGGGAAGGCTGCAGAAGGACTATCAGCGAAGGCTATCACGAGAGCGGGAGGACGGTATTACAGGTAGTCCTTCTTGTGTAGCGAGGCCTTGTCAAAGGTACCAAACACCTCGTCGAGAACGCCAAAGGCACCTTCGGTCCAGATGACGAAACGACCAATGTGGCCACCGGGAGCGAGTTGAAGAAGGTTGAGTCTCCTGACGTTGACGAGCTCGACACCCGGCAAGTTGCGGAAGGCCATTACGATGCCGTTGTCTTCGTTGTACACGACGAGGGGGCCGCGGCGTTGGCGGTAACGGCGATTGCGCATCTTACCCTTACCGGCGCGGAGCCTGCGGGAGTTTGAGACCTTGACGACATCCGCATATGCGTTGATGGACTTGAGCAACGCTACGGCTTCCTTTGTTTTCTTGAAGGATTCGACGGCGGAGGAGATGACGAGAGGGACTTCGCCAATTTCCTCGATGCGGTGACCGCGAGCGAGAACGAGGGAGGGCAGAGCGGAAGCGGCGAGGGCAGATACGGTAGCGAAGCGGCGCTGGTTCTGGTTGACTTTGACGTGCCACTTGCGCCAGGTCTTGGTGGGAGCAAACATACGACCACCGCGACACATGTTACCGAAGGCAGCCTATTGTGAGACAAGATTTAGTTGTCGATGGATTTGGAACTGATTGTGCACGAAGACATGCCTGGCCGGATCTGTGGGTGCCACCACCACCGACACGAGGGATACGAGCGACGGCACGACCTGTGCCCCATGACTCTGCAGAGGTTTGGTGGCCGGCTTTTTCGCTGACTGCATAGGCCTGGCGTTTGTTCTTTGCCAAGCTCTCTGTGTAGCAATGTTACAAGGGAGCTGAGATGATTTGCCATGGACGTACTGTGCACCTGAGCGACAACGTCGAGTCTGATGGGTGCGGTGAGGACGGCGGGGAGAGGAAGGGAAGAGGACGCCTCTGTCACAGGATTGAGCAGACGAAGACCGAGACGGGAAGGGCAGCGACATACCTCCTGAGACGGCGTGGACGGTGACGGTGGGTCTTGAGGCCATTGGTGCTTGCTGGCTTGCTGGATGTGAGCGACACTAATAGCACGCTGAGGGTGATGAGCAGACAAACAAGGTTGGCAAGCCACAGAACAAACAGATGTCAACAACTGTATGGTATTACCAAGCAAGTCTGGCCTGGGTCCGAGGAGGTATTATTATTATGCAGAACTGAAACCGGGGTGCCTGTCAGTGGAGACTTGTGTTGTCTCATGTCTGTTTTTTTTGTTTTGTTTTTCCAGCTCGATGTTTGACCGGCGGTTGCAAGCCCAGGCAAGCAACTTGCGACCCCCCCGTCCCCTGAGTTGGGGGCGGCGTAATTGAATTTCGAAAAAGATAAGCCAGACAGATCTGAGATCCTCCTACTCGACTTCCTTATCTGCACGGCCCTCAAAAGACGTGACTACTACAGCAGGTCTACAGCGACGAACAACAGACTGACTGACTCAAAGATGGCCCCGGCACCGACGACGACGACGACGTACGGCGTGACCCCGCCCGACCCGTCCTCCCTGTCCTTCCGCCACCCGTCTGTCCGCCGGCCTGTGGCCCCCATACCGCTGCTTGCACACTCTGAGTTCTCGCGGATGCACCTCCAGCACGCCACAGCACACCCCCCAGACTCTGTCCTGTTCCCCTTCCTGCATGGCCTCGAGGGCAACAACGAGCCCCAGTGTTCATTCTTCGCTTCAACTCCGTCCACTGCTGCTTCGGCCGCAGCTGGCCTCGTCCAGGACCCTTCAGGTCGCGCCATATGCCCACCCAGATACAGGGGTCTTGTGTGGGTGCTGTGTGATGAGGACGTCGACGGGGAACTCCCCCAGCTCGCAACTGCACCCACTCGCTGGGAGGACGACCTTGTCTGCGACGACAGCGACTCGTCTGAATACTCTACAGACCAGCCAGACATAGATAGAGACGTCGAGTTCGACGATCTCGCCAATGACGCTCCTCCGTCCCATCCTGTCCCTTGTCCAATGGACATGGACCCGCCCCCGCAGCAGGAACCCCACATGCATCCCCTTGCACTCCGCATACCAACGTCCAACCACGCTCACCATCTCCCACACGACCGTCGTCACTCCAATGCCTCGTCCTCAGACTCAACCTCCACTGACGCGTCCGCTTCCTCGTCACTAGCTAACTCAGACTCTGATTCCACCGCCGCGACCTCACTCGCGTCTCCACCCTGCTATTCCAGTTCACATGCAGCATACCAAGAACAATCTCAGTCCATCTTGGGGATACACGATAGTGGTGTCGCGTTCGTCCAATCAGCGCCGCAGCATGCAGCAGACCCTCACAAACGCCCTACCATCCTTACGTCCACTTTCGTCCCGTCTCAACTCATCCAGCCCTCATCATGCGACCCGCTCTTCCCCCCAATTGATGATTGGGAAGAATCTATCAACTGGGAGTTCAAGCCCGTCGTCGTCCCTGATGGCATCAGTCTCCGCAACTTCGGAATCCAAGTGGTAAGTCGGCGCAAGGAACCGGTCCCACCTTCCCTTTTGCGTGAGTGGGGAATTATCTGAGTTAAGCTCCGTGTCGAGACACGGCCCATTCGACAGGAATTTTCTGCCATCAGCTTTCATTTTACTTGCCCTTTTGTGACTCATGGTGTGATGTGACCCACGCTAATGCGCGGCCCTTTAACACAGCCTCTCTATCCAACGATCTCGGACATTGTGATTTACTCACCACGCGGCGCATCTCCTGCTGCCTTGCGCCTCGCTGCGCGCTTCAGACGTGCCGTGGAAAAAAAGCTCGCGGAGAGACTAGACAGGTGGGCTCATGCGCGAGGAGAGACCCCACGTACGGAACGCGCACTCGATGAACATCCCCACATAACACCAGAAGGATTTCTCAAGTATGGTGTATATATTCTCGATGCAGATGCACCCGTGATCGAGCGAGAACTCCCCTGGATGATCATGCACAGAGATGGCGAGTGCGACGGATCATGCGCAGGCGACATTGTCTCCACCACCGGAGGCTGCTGCGCTGATTCAGGGTGTCCAGGAAGATGTACGGTAGGAGCCGCCGCCTGTCGGTGTGATCCTACTCGTCGCCGTGGCCATGGTTCTGGGGCCCTCACCGAGTCTACAGACGGGCGACTTGTCGGCGAGCTGGAGATCGAAGCCGAGCTGGACGCCAGAGAGCTGCATTCGCCTCCCCGACCCATCGTCACCCGGTCTCGGTCGCACACGCTTCCCTATCATGCACGCGAGGGCCAGCGACCCCACCGCGACCGTCAGCTCTACCACTCGCACACAGCCCCCGACGCCCACCAGACGTCCGCCAACGGCTCCACATGCACTCAGCCGCCGATGTCGGACGATCGTGATACCTCCCATCATCACTGCTTCCACACGCAGTTTTTGCCTGGTACATGTATGGGTTCTCGCAAGCGCCATCACCTGCATCGCTGCAAACACGCCAATACCATCGACTTTGCGCAACGTGAAAAGGAAGAGATGAGAGATTTGACAAGGGCCTCTGAGATCATCACACTACAGAATGACCGAGACGAATCCGTAAGTACCCTCTTCCCCTCGCACTTCCATTTCCATGTCACGTCGCTATTAATTAGCACCATACACACGCCTCCGGGAGCACTACGAATACCTACTGGGATCCCCATGCCGGCCAGGTCTTTCTTGGTAATTCAAACGACGTACCCTTATGGGCGCCTTTTAAGAAGAAGCGGAAAAACACCAGTAAGGTCCCACATCAAACATGTGTCTCCTTATCTCTCACCACGTCACGGCCCCCTTCCAACAGAAGAACCGATAGAGAAGCCGTCACCTTTTGACAGTGATGCAAATTCCCCCGCATTGGGGAGAGGGTTTGACATTTGCATCGAGTGTCACGAGTGTGCACCACTTCCAGGCGTGCCGCACCTCCATGCGGCAGAGCAACATATTCGGGCGTTGGAGATGGAGTGGGTGGAGCGTTGCCAGCGGGACAAGGACGGTGATTGGATGGACGCAGATGAACCCTGCATTCCACCTAGGCCACCTCCACACCCATCAGCGATGGTCCACTTACCGTTCCCAAGCTCGCAGCAGGCTATGCCTTCAATCTTAAATGCTCTTTTCCCGTTGATTAGGTTCCTGGAGAGAGTTATTACCCCCGGTTGGCTGGATTCTGGATGTGAACCGGGGAGCGGAGCTTCAGCTGGAAGAGTGCCGCGGACACCTGCAAAAGGACCCCACTACCTGCAGTCCCCGGGGTCGCCGCCTTTACCCCAGCGCAGTATTATTCCCGAGGATAGGGTCCACGTGTGCACGAACGGCACCGGCACCCTTGAGAACGGGAATGGACGTGGCTCGTACGGGGCACGAGATCCGGCGCCATTGTACAATGCAAGACCGCTGAAGGTCCTCTTGTACTCAAGCGATGGGTACACGGAGTCGTCTGCCCCTGCACTTTGTTTACTTATGGTGGTGAAAGGACTGAGTCTCCCAGAAGCATATTTGGAGCTGCAGGTCAGTTGTTTCTGTGCTTTTTTCCTCTTTCTTTTCTTCGGCCAGTTCTAGTTTAACACGCCGTCTTAGGTTGTGAAGCGCCGCTCGTTTTTCGTCTACCAGATGGAGGTAGGCTTGCTCAAGAAGGTTGAAGCGCGACTCGGCGCGGGGAACGGTCAAGGCCGGCCCAGGTGCTACACGTACGGATCTCGAGATATGTCCAGAGGGCTGGTCGCCCCTTCGGGACATTCAGCGACTGAAATCTCTGCTGGTTCCGGTTCTTCCCTACGACCGTTGATTCTGACCTCGTCTTCGAGCCATCAACCAGGGATTCGGAGTACCGCGTTGCCCGCGGCAACGATGCCGAACGTCCTTGGTGTTGAAGAGATGAGACCAGCAGTCCAACCGCGGACGTTGAGACGACCGAGGGCGAGCACGTTGCCGGCGTTCATTCCAGATCATCAGAGCTGGTTTGACGATGCGAGGTTCGATGGGAGTTTTCCAAGCCGGGTGCTTCCATTTTTGTATCTCGGGAATCTGTAAGTCTTCTATCTTTTCCTTCTTGTTCTGTCGTCGGGGGGGACCGGTGAACTCATTCGGAATGAACAGGAATCACGCGTCGAATGCCTATATGCTGCATGCGCTGGGTATCACCCATGTTGTGTCGGTCGGCGAATGTGCGCTAGTGCCACCACCGCAAACGGACACCATCGATGGTGACGCTGCTCCGACTTTCCTGCCGTATAACCTCGATGAGTCGACTTCTGGGCAGGGTCCCGGCGGGCAAGGCTCCCTCTGGATAGAGGAGAGGGAAGGCAGGATCAAAGTTCTGGATATTAAGGGTGTCTGCGACGATGGAATCGACACGCTAGAGCACCAGCTGCATCCGGTCTGTTCCTGGATTGAGAAGGCACGTCAATCGGGTGGCCAAGTCCTCGTCCACTGTCGGGTGGGAGTATCGCGGAGCGCGACGGTGACGATCGCATACATGATGCAGCACCTTGGGCTCAGTCTCGTAGAGTCATATCTGGTCGTGCGGAGCCGACGACTGTCGGTACTGATCCAGCCTAATATGAGACTGCTGTACAACTTGCTCGGGTGGGAGGTGAGGTTGGCGAGGGAGCGAGCTGGTGGAGATGAGAGGAAGTTGAGGGAAGAACTTAGGAAGGCATTGAGCTGGCCGTACCTTGCAAGGGAGGTGCATGCGCTCAATGAGAAGTATCTCAGTTGAGTAAACCCCTACTAAAGCCTGCTTCCTTCTTGTGTGTTCGTGCTGCTGAATGTAACTGCTACCATCCCGTGTTTCTTCTTTTTCAGCCTCTTTTCTCGTGTCATTGTTTTTTTTTTTGGCCACCACTCCGACTCTGCTCGAAAAAAATGTACTCATTGCGGTTTTTTGTTGTCACTTGTATTTACTATATGAACTGTATGTATGCAGGACCCGTTGTCATCATCCCGTCGCCCCACCGAGTACTACTGGTGCGGTCAGCTCTCTTGCGTGCTGTGCACGATTGGCAATTCGTTTTTTTTTTTCCCTCTGTTCTTTTCTTTTTGTCCTCGATCGATATACTTCAAATCCATTGTGCTTTTTTGTACTCAAATTACTAGCATCCGAGGTGTCGCATTTCCAATCAGGCGATCATGCGATGATGTCCGAGATCTGAGCCGACAAGGGGCAGTCTGTCCGACTTGACAACAAATTATTCCTGAGACTCCAACTGATTCAATTTTATTCCCTCATTCCTTGCAGAATTTCACCTTCAATATTACCCTTCTAACGTAACTTCTTTGAGTCGTCGAACGGTCACCGTCATTATCATCGCAATGGGAAACGCAATCTCACTCCTCCGTCTCGCACTGGCCGATTTCATGGAGACGTTGCGGGGATACCAAGTCTTGAAGGACAGTCTGCAGCGCTCGCCGGGTCTACCAGTGGTCGACGATCCCACTGGCACCACCAGCCGATCGTTCTGGATGCATCCGCCTTCGCCGATCGCGAAACACTGTTCGGAGATACCGGATTATGCTGATTTCGTCATCATCGGCTCTGGCATTACTGGAACGTCTGTTGCGAGGAGGTTATTGCAAGGGTGCAGGGCGGCTGGTTGGGACAGTGTGCGGGTTTTGATGCTAGAAGCCAGAGATGCGTGTTCGGGTGCAACGGGGAGGTATGTACGCCATAGCATATGTGCTGGTCCGAGTCTGTGGGAAGTGACACTCCCTCACCCCCCTATCCGCTACAGAAACGGCGGACACATATCGCCGCCTCTATATCACGATTGGGCGGCATTACAAAAACAGTACGGAGACGTCTCAGCGCAGAAACTGATTAAATTCCGGCTTGCACATCTCCAGGAACTCCAAAGGGTCGCGGAAGAGGAGGGCATTCTAGACAAATCGCAATGGCGAGCGGTCGACTTGGTGGACGTGTATTATGATAAGCGGTCTTTTGACAAAGCAAAGGAAAAGCTGTCAAAGTATCAACGAGACCTGCCTTTCGAAGCGTCGCATCATCGTGTGTATGAGGCTGCAGAGGCGATAGAGGTACAGTAAACGTGGCACGGTTTGCTTCGATCCCCGATTCATCACTAAAGGCGTTTTCACTTTCTGCTCTTTTTTTTTTTTAAAAAAAAAAAAAAAATAGACGTTCCATCTTGCAGATGATGTTGCAGGGTGTATTGCTGGTGGTGCAGGCGCCATCCATCCATACAAATTTGTAACTGGCATCCTTTCGAGCCTCCTCAAGCGATATCCAGACAAGTGAGTCGGAAAATCTTTTCATTTTGGTTTTCGCCAACGAGTGTATCTGACTGCACACCCGATCAGCTTTTTCCTCTGTACGAACACACCTTGTGTCTCTATATCGAGTCCCTCAGCTTCTACCTCATATTACACCGTGACGGCGACCAAAGGAAAAACACATACCCCACACGTCATCCATGCCACCAACGGCTGGTGCGCACACCTCCTCGAGCCGATGCGCGCCAAGATTGTGCCTATCCGGGGTAACATGAGCGCACAGCGGCCGGGACAGTCACTCCTACCTACGACCGTCTCGCATGCGTACGTGTTCTACCCTTCATCGGGAGGATTCGACTACCTTACCCAGCTCCCGAACGGGGAACGTGAATTGATGCTTGGAGCCACTTTCGCACAATCGACGGGATATGGGGAAGTTGGGAATACCGACGACAGGGTATACAATAAATCCATCGCGGCTCGTCTGGGAGGTGTACTGCCGAGATATTTCGGGGAGAAGAATTGGGGTGCTGAAGCTCAACCCGCTGATGGTGATGACGACGACGAAAACCCGGGAATTGGATGGGATCAGGGCCGAACCAAGGCAATATGGAGCGGTATCCTTGGTATCTCGGTCGACTTGATGCCGTGGGTCGGTCGCTTGCCAACGGCGGCGTCGGGTCGTCCCGAACCTCCTGTAATACCATCATCTCCCCGAGTTTTAGGGGTAGGCGCCAAGAGGGAGGATGAGGTCTCCTTCGGGGCAGCCCCTGGGGAATGGATAGCAGCAGGTTACACTGGCGAGGGAATGGTACATGCATGGCTAAGCGGCAAAGCGCTTGCGGGGATGATTTTAGGGACGGAGAAGGAAGACAAGCTTGCGGAGTGGTTCCCTGAGGCCCTGCGGGTGACTCATGCCCGATGGCGGAAGGCAAAGCTAGAAGCACTCGCGGCTAGTGTTAGCGGGGAGTGATATATTGCAGGCAGAGGATAACGAACACAAAATTACCGATGCGACGTATATATGCATGTATCACGTTGTTTGAACGGCTAGTCTTTTTTGCGTTGCAACGGGATGGACTCGAGCACAATTCCACGTCAGGGGCTCCCTGGAGTACAGGTCACTTCTGGTGGTAGTTCTACATGGTACGCACTACACAAGTGCCATTAGTGTCGTGGATGCGTAGACTTCTGGTTAGTTCTCTCCAGGGTCCACAGCTCCGACACCTTCTCCATTTTCAGAACTTCCATCCACTCCCCAAAAGAAACATCCCAAGGCTTTCTGCTCTTCAGTCCTAGTCACCACCTTTTCATTCACCCTCCATCTTCGGAAACTGGGTATCTGGTCAACCACAGACCACTCATTATCCCCAACATCTGGACATTCAGATATGAGATGGGTAAAACTAGAGGAGGCTAGCATAGATGGCGTCAGGCCCTCCGTCTTATTATAAACCCAGCCATGAGGAGCTACGGGACCAAAGCCACCGGTAAAGATGTATGGAGGCGCGTGTTCATGAAGGAAGAGAGATGCTCCAGTTTGGGCAGCGAGGTTGGATATGTGCACGTGAACTGCAGCAGTGTGAACAACGTTCACCTCAAGATAATCAGAGCGATACTCACCGTTTTTTTGTTCCGCGTATCGTTTGTTGAAAGCAGCCAGTGCAAATCCACCGGGATAGTTCACTATCGAAGCCCTTGCGAAGAAAAATGTCATGACAAAGTTGAGGGAAAAAATACAGAAGACTGAGAGGAACGCCATGTATCGGAACATAAATCCTTTCTTCCGAGATATCCTACGTAGCATGGACGTAAGCAAGTCTCGTCCGGACAGACCACAAGTGCACCGAAGAACATACAGCCACCGTGCTCCTCTCGCAGCTGCGATGTTAACGAGGGGCACCACATAGATCACAAATCGCCATTCCTTGTGTTTCAAGGCACTCAACCCGAGGACGAACAGGACGGGTGCCAGAAGAAGCGACCGAATACGGTAATCCAGAATAAACCCAAGGATCGCCAACGGAAGGGCTCCCAGCAGAAGCTTCGGCAAGTGAATGGAAAAGTAGGAGTGTGGGGCGGATGTCTTGGTTATGCATATGAAGGTGGGGTATAAGAAGATCGACTATTAGTGGCATTGGAAATTAACTCACACCCCATTCTGCACTCTTTCCCAAATAGACATTGAAATAGAATCCGTACAGCTCAGGCCAAAGGGGCCATTGATTCCAGAAGTAAGAGTCAATTGCAACCGTCAATGCTTTGAAGGACCGCTGAGAATGCCCCATTGAAAATAAATGTGTCGTTACTCACCAACTGCGGCAACAGCAGCTGAAAAGCCCACTTTAATGAGCCTTGCAAACGTAGTATGACCTTGAGCCAAAAATTGGAGAGAAAGGGACGCAAGGAGCAATGCGACCTCGGAGCGAAAGACAACTGCGGTAAAAACCAGAAGACTGGCAGCAACGTCGACACTTGTCTGCGACGGATACACCGATTGAGGAGCACGGTTGTAAAGAGCGAAGTACGCCAGATTTACTATTACGCAGATATCACAGCGATTGTTCCATCCATCAATGCATGTCAACCGTACCAGGAATCAGTGCGAACATGTTTGGAAGCGTACGACTCATCCAGAATAGGAGGTGGAATTGGGAGAGAGTCAGAAGGGCAAATAGCCAACTTGTAGGTCTGCCGAATCGTTTCGAGACCGCATGCCGGATGAAAATGAGGCCGAGACCATTCATGGAGGCAAGCACTAAGCGAACTACAAACAATGCGGATAAGCGGGAGAAGAAAAAGAAAGTAGAGGCAGAGACACTCACGAGTGATCTGCAGATCCATTTTGCATGTGACAAGACCGAGAGATGTTCCAAGGGAAGCTACGAGTGCTGTGAGCCAGCCGAGTAGGATAGAGCCTACAAATGTGCGTGGCACGGCCCCAGGGAAAGTCATATGGTCATACTGCAGAACTCGGACTCGGAATTCAAAAGGGCCAGCAATACGACGAGTTACGCACCTTCGACAAAGACTCCGGCCCAATTCCATACATGAGGACATCGTGGGTAGCGTGGAGGTTGAATGATTCCTCTACTTTAGAGTACGGTGCGAAAAAGACGTATGCCCAGCTTATCACCAGGAGGAGGAGGTCCAGAAAAAGCCCTCGTATGAGTCCGGCAGAACTCCAGGCTTCGCGAACTCGCGCCATTCAATTCTGTTGAAGGTGTCAGGCTCTATCAACCAAGCCGAAGCGTACATGCCACATGCGACTGACGCACCACCCGCTCAGTGTCGATCGCGTCGAGTGGCCAAACACACCAGTACTACTTCCGAGTACCCTCACTGCAACAATATTTGCCACCACGTTGGCTCCTTCCATGGCGCGCTACCAATATACTACATGACTGTGCGTTGGTCTGCTGAGTGACGCTCTATATATTGATGTCCCCATACCCATGAAACATGATCTACGAGTTGCTGGATCTTAAAAAAATGCTGGTGTGTAAATCATAATTGCAACTCGCTCTTGGACTGTAGCCACGCCGCCATGATGTGTCGCGCCGACGTGGGAGTAGCTCATTCCGTGACTTCTTTGGCATCGCTTCACCATCCAGGATTGTTGCCTCGGCACCACAAGCCCGTCTCAAATTTCCTTCAAGAAAGGGTGTGCCTTCTATCTGAACTGACTATTCGTTGACGGGGTGAGCTGTACATGTAGTATCAAGATTTTAGCCGACTCGAAGTCTGGAGAAGGGTCTATGCCGACGAGTGGATAGTTCTCTGATTACGACTCATGGCGGGGGCCTCTGTCATCTCAATTGATGGCACATATTCAATTCGGAGGTCCGCCGACATGGCTGTCGGGACGCTGTAGAGGTGGACTATATCATTCAACTTGAAGAGTAGTACAACAAGGAAGGTTGTGACCATACTATCTGAATAAATGAAATCCAAGCCAGACATTTGCGGCCAGCGACATTATTAGGAGTTGGGCACGGAGTGCATCCACTTTCTCAGCTGTGTACATCCGCTCTAGGCCACATTTCAACGATTGACTGACTCTGCAATGGATATGACAACTCAACATCAGTCTCCGAGTGTGCCAAATAAACTCAAATGACCTACTCACCGCAGCTCTGAACCTGCCAACTAGTCAATCAATAGAGAGATACTCTATACAACATACCAGCATTAATGCTTGATAGGGGGTGTAGGAAGTGTTTGGCTTCAAATCAGATTATTGGTAGTGCGTTCATCCATGAACCGGAAATGCAATTTTCGTTTACCCCGATTCCATCTCTGCGTGACCCACTCCATCAAACATTCGAAAAATAGTACAGGTGAACCGAAAGTGAACTCTTGTAGGTTCAGGCTTTCGAAGCATGTCCATTTGTCAATAGGGCATTGACCGTTGACCGTCTGAGAAGGGGTGAACAGCACAGGCACGTAGTCCCCATGCAGAAATTCTTGGACGAATCCGAAGCTTCCTTCCTGACTTAAGTCGGCAACAACAAAAGCGAGGTAGGTGACATCATCGAATTTCGACCAAGTTCCACTAAATCTTCTCTGCAAAACCTTCCAGCCAAGCGAAATTATGTGAGTTTCGGCGCAACAATAGCTTCCAGATATGACACAAGATCACCGATATCGAGTGTGAGGCGCCGAAGTAAAGGAAAGTACACGTTGTCTTGCCGAAGTTCCAGGTGATGGATGGTGTCCGCAGAGGGGTGCCTGGTACGTCGGAAACTCACCCGGTAACTCCACGATCACTGACAGCTACCGCAGAGAAGGAAATCTTGTGTGGCAGATTCCGTTAAGGATTTCCATGGCGCAGTTACGAATCCGGAGAGTATGCACCTGGTTCATATGAGGCATAACAATATCCAGTATCTTTCTGCCGTAGGATTCGAGCTCGATTGTAAGAGGGACTTCACAACTTCTTTCCAAGTGCAACTTCAGCCCTCGGGGGTGAGTCGTAGTGGCTTAAGTCGATCTCGCTCCGAATTCCGGGAGTATCCATAATCATGGGCCTTCAATGACGTGAAACACTGTCCAGAATTTCCCGTTCATCCCAGATATCTGCGCAAGCAGCTTGTTTGAAATATGATCAATCGGCGGTGGGGCGCACATTCTGATCAGCTTCTGTACTGGTATTGGTGACATTCGGGGATGAGCAAAGCGTATTAATTTAAAGGTTGCTTAGACGTTACCTGAGAGCCTACTTGCTTCAGCGTTCAATCAACGCGGGACACGGAACCCCCCAGCGAGCGAAGGGGAATGAGGTCACATGATCCGCATGACACAAGTCAAGTCAAGAATTAGGAGAACCACGCCGTGTATACAGACCTACGACCTAGCAATTACACACATACAAAACGTTGCTGATGCTCATTCAACCTTTTTCGCTTTTCCAGTGCCCTGCCCATACACTAGTTCATCTACTTCTGCTTTCCTGCCCTGCATCTTCAACAATACACCACGTATCGGTGTTTGAAGCGGGTCAAACATCCCAACACGTTGTTGATATGCTGCATATGCGACAGGATACTTTGACAGCGAAATGGACTCGGTGAACTTTGTCGATGCAAAAAAGAGCGAACAAAGCAAGAGACAAGGAGCCAATCTGACCACGGCACCTGTAGAAGCTGATGGTGCATCGGGAGATAGGAGTGGGAGAAGGTTGATAATGATCTGGACGATCTCAGTTTTATGTTGAGTAGAGTAGAGTCCCACTCACCCAAAATAGCTGCTCGCAAAGGAAGTTGGGGTGCCTGGACCATGCCCAAAGGCCCCTGGTGGCAAAACCCCTTTCCACATCACGTTTTGTCCATGGAATGCGTGCCCCGAACCAGTCGTTCTTTGCCAAGACACCGGACCGCTTAAATGTCTGGAACGAGTATTGTTGATTGTCGGCGACGAACTCCACGAAAAGCGTAGCAAAGCCAAGAAAGGCGAGGATGTAGTCGGGTGTAGTCAGACGAGTGTGAGGTTGAGACACAGCCATCATTGCAGGAGTGCCCAAAAGGAGGAGGAGAATGTTCTGTGCGATGGCTATGACATCCTCAACTGTCTGTGAAGAAGGCAACATCGTAGAGACTCACCGATGAACGTGAGGTTAAAAACTTGGAAGAGCCAAAGAGGGACCTGCCGACGGAATACTTCCCAGCGATAATCTTCCTCCTTGCTGCTTCACAGTTAAGCCATCCATCCGCAAAATGCACAGATCTGAGTGCTTACAAGCTGAATAGACCACGACGCCATGTATTGTAAGACAACCTGACGAATAAGAAGGTACAGTCGGAGGATCAAACAGTTTGAGGTATCCATACCTGCACATCCATGTAAGCTGTGGTCCAAGAGTCAACGGGGCATCCAAAGAAAATACTAGGACAAGCGTACCACCAACACCAGCATCAGAAGAGCGCGAGGACTGAAACTGCCAGAAATCGACTTTTGGATTGAATCCGGTGCGCAGGGATAGAAGTATACCGGTGCTGACGGCGGCCAGAGTGGTAGAAGAACATAGTAAGCAATGTAGATGGCCGGGAGGATCGTCCACACTCTATCCACCTGGGAAACGTTGCCCGTCACGAGCGATAGAATGTAAGTTGTCGCAGTGACTCCCAGACAGAATTTTACAGGCCATTCAAGGAGGGGATGCTGTTCGATAAGCGCGTGCAGAGCGTCCATGACTGATGGGCGTCAGAGGTCACGTAAGTGATTAAAAACAGGGGGCTCATTGGCACGTGACTTGATTCCCTTCATGGAGGCACAGCCACCGAATCATCCCAGGCTGCAGCCATGTCGACGAGCGTCCTATTCTCAACGTTCCCGCCGTTTCCGACCTTGTCACTCTTGGTTCCCTCAGAAACACACATTGGCGATCTCTATGGACTCCTTTGCGATCGCTACCCGCACCTTCCGACGGAAGAGTACTTGAGCATCTCCCCCCATTCAGGCTCTCTCACTCCAGACACCCTCATCTCTGAGCTTCATGGTGCCTCTCCAGGCCTCGTTACCCTTCGCCTTGTTCCTCGTCTCCTTGGTGGGAAGGGTGGTTTTGGGTCGCAGTTGCGTGCTGCCGGTGGTCGCATGAGCAGCCAAAAGACTAACAACAATGATTCTTGCCGTGACTTGAGTGGCCGCAGGCTTAACACTCTCAAAACCGCCAAGAGGTGGGCATTCAATTGGTCCTAGTCTAGTCTACGATTGATCATGCGACCTGCGTAGGCTTGTTGAATACATGGAACACGAGAGCGACCGCAAGAAAGCAGCAGCGGATGCCAAGAAAGCCAAGCTGGAGAATCTCGAGAGGAAGATTGCTGCAGCTTCGGTAGACCCTGAAACGCTAGCTGGAAAGAAACATCGCTTTGACGACACAGAGTACCTGGAAGAGAGCAGGGAACTCGTGGACAACGTCAGATCTGCAGTCTCCACTGGTAAGTTTCTTTTCTTGTGACTGTCACTTATTGTTGTGCACTCAACTCGTGCTTACACCAGGTCTTCTCAAGAAGAAGAAGAAAGCCAAAATCGATCAGCCTTCAACCCCACCGGAGGCTTCGAAATCAGCAAGACACCACTGTTCTGGAGCCAGCAGCACCAACTGAGGCAGCGGTAGCTCCAACTCCATCGCTTGCGGTGGCGGCATCTGCTTGAGCACGGCCCTGCAATCTGTACTGTACTGCATATAAGTATCAATCTGGCTTTCTGACGTAGGACACGCAATTGGTACGTCGATAGTCGCCCCAGATGGGAAGCCATGTCACTGGCTGGAATCATTCGGTAATAACCTTGTACAATGAAATGTTCAGTGAAAGCCTTTACGATTGCGTCTGAATAGATTTGAGTATGTAACCTTCCAAGCCTCCACAGATCCAAAGTTCCTGCACGCTCGCTCCCACAGGGCGTACCTTGTACCGCCTTTCCCCCTGAGGACCGCTCACGAAAACATTTCCATCACGCATATTTATCCGCATCGCGTGGCCCCGGTTAACTGTCAGCTCACCATCCTTTCCTCCCGCACCACGCCTACCGTCCATCGCGTACATCTCAGTCAAATCACTCACAAGCTCGGGGCTCTCCAGGCAAATGAGCCCGTTGTTGATCGCATTGCGCTTGAAAATATCGCCGAACGAACCTGCAATGACGACAGGAATGCCAGCGGCCTTGAGTGCCTGTCGCTGCTTGCTCGCGCGACGAGCCCGTCCCAAAGTTGTAACCAGATACGAGAACCACGCCTTGCTTTGAGTTTGCCGATGCTGAGAATAATGGCTGTTCTTTGAGGAGCGATGAGACGAGACCAGCAAAGGATGTGTCGTAGTTCTCCATGACCACTTCCGCCTGGCGCTCGAGTGTAATATCGTCTTGGTAGGTATACTTCCCGGGGTACAATGCATCTGTACTAAGGTTATCCTGGGGGACGAAGAGGAGGCGTCCTGAAAACGATTCCGGAAAGCCGGGAAGAAGCGGCTCCTCTGTGTCAGAGGTGACAGACGCCGCCGCTCCCGATCCTGTCTCAGCGATGTGGAACGACGGTGCACCAGTAGGTGGTAAGCGGTTGGTATCGAGGGAAGCAGGACCGCAAATGTACCCGTTGATGGCACTGGCAGCAACTACAGCAGGGCTAGCTAGATATGCCTGTGCCTTTGGGTGGCCCATGCGACCTTTGTAATTCCGGTTGGTAGCACTGATACCCGTCTCACCTTCCTCGAGTAACCCTGTGCCAAGACCGATGCAGGGGCCACACCCAGCAGGTAGAACCGTTGCACCAGCCGCTATGAGTGCATCCCAGTCACCAAGGTGCTCAGACTCCTGCTGCACTACAGAACTTGCAGCTGCGATATAGAATTGGACGCCAGGGGCAACCTTATTGCCCTTCATCACAGCAGCAGCCGCTGCAATGTCAGATACGCGGGAATTGGTACAGCTGACGAGATATGCCTTTTGAATGGGTATGCGAGCTTCTTCAAGTTTTGGGAGGGGTGTTGACACCTTGACACTATTCGGGCCAGAGACGTGAGGGACGAGTGTTGAAAGATCGAAGCGGAGATGTGAAGCATATTCGGCACCGAAGTCGGACGCTAACGGCGCAGCTTGCAGTGCAGCTAGGCGTCGTCTGTTGATACGAGGATGTTCAGGAAGTGGTGGCATAGACTTCGATGCAAATGTGCAGAATTCGAGCTTCTTGAGTGTCCGCTCGTACCAATCTAGCAGAGTCTGATCAATGGGAAATACGCCGGCAAGGGCGCCCCATTCCGTAGTCATGTTTGCGAATCGTGAGGCGGTCGTCGACGCTGAGACCAGCTACACCTTCACCAGTGAACTCGATGGCAGCATTCAGCACCTCGTCCTTATTAAACGAACCACAAAGGGCGACGATGACATCCTTCCCAGTCACCCCGGGTGACAGTTTTCCCTTGAATTCCACCTTGATCATGCGTGGTACTTGCCACCAGGTTTTACCGGTTGCCCAGAGGGCAGCTGCGTCTGTACGGACGATTGGGGTACCGACGCACCCAACCCCACCATACATGTTGCTGTGACTGTCGCTGGCAACAGTCAACGTGTACGGAAATGCGTAGCCTTCTTCGATGAGAACTTGGTGTCCTATACCCCGACCAGCGGGATAAAAGTCGACGTCGTGCTCCCTCGCGAACTGTTCGATTTTAAGATATTTTGCAAGATTTTTTTCGGACTTGTTCTGAACATCATGGTCGAGTGTAAAAACGAGCTGCCTGGGGTTTGCGATCTTGGTTGCGCCCACGGATTTGAATCTATGGTCCGTTCAGCCCCAAAAAGCCACTTGTCGGAAGTGGTAGCATTACTTGGATATTACAGGTCCGGTATTGTCATGTGTCATGACATGCTCCGGGCGAATCATGACATAGTCCCCCGCACGCACAACTCTGCCAGGTGGAAGATCGACGGCATACTTTTGTACGACCTTTTCGATGACCGTTTGAGGGACGGCATGTCTTGATGTTGCAGCTGTTGCAAGGAAACGGAGGGCAGCAAATTGCTGACGCCTCGCCCTGAGGGTTGGCAGGCGGTTCATTGGATGTCCACAGTGAAAGCCCAACTCGGAAATGATCAGCGCTTGGCGGAGCAGCCACAAAAGGAAAGCCAGATCCACGTGGCGTTATTCCCACGACCTGTCCTCCTGGGGGACGCGTAACCTCTTCGTCCACTTGACACTCACACAATTCCAATGGCTGATCCAAGTGGTGCACCCCCACAACCCGGTCCAAATGACACGGCAACGGCGATACTGAGGCAAAAGAAATCGTGAGTATCGTGTTCGTGATCATATAGATCTCGTTGACGGTGCGACATCTCATCACTAGACCCCACCGACTCATCGTAGATGAGGCAACCTCGGACGATAACTCGGGTGAGTCCTAGAAATGCCTGTGTAGTGGACATCCTTGACCTTGAATGGTAGTCGCAACCCTCAATCCGGCTACGATGGAAATACTCTCTTTGTTCCGCGGTGACACCATCATAGTGAGGTACTCCTCCGTGAATCTGACCTCTTTGTCCGGCCCTGATCTATTTTCAGGGGAAAGAAGCGACGTGACACTGTCCTTATTTGCTTGAGCTCGGATGATGTCGAGGAAGGCCGTATTCAAATGAATAAAGTTGCACGAAACAACCTGCGAGTTAAGCTCGGGGATCTGGTCGGTGTACACCAATGCCTCGACATCAAATACGGAAAACGAGTGCACATACTCCCGTTTGACGATTCCATAGAGGGTCTCAGCGGCAATATTTTTGATGTCTATCTCAAGCCCTATTTCCTGGAAGGTGATTGAATATTGTTCCTCCATTCTGGCTTTTATGGTTCTCACACGAATTAGCATACCGGCCTGTTCGCAAGGGCGATACTTTCCTCGTTCGTGGTGGCATGCGGACTGTCGAATTCAAGGTAATCGAAACCGATCCCGCAGAATACTGTATAGTGGCACAAGATACCGTCATCCATACAGGTAATTAGGGCAGTTGATAAATATTTGATGGTACTGACATATCTATCGTAGAGGGCGACCCTGTCAAACGTGAAGACGAGGAAGCAAACCTTGCCGATGTGGGTTATGATGACATTGGCGGCTGTCGCAAACAAATGGCTCAAATTCGTGAGCTTGTGGAGTTACCATTGCGACATCCCCAACTCTTCAAATCTATCGGTATTAAACCTCCACGAGGTATCCTTATGTATGGACCTCCGGGAACTGGTAAAACCCTTATGGCTCGTGCTGTTGCCAACGAAACGGGTGCATTTTTCTTCTTGATCAATGGCCCGGAGATTATGAGCAAGATGGCTGGAGAGAGTGAGAGCAATTTGCGGAAGGCGTTTGAAGAGGCCGAGAAAAATTCACCTGCTATCATCTTCATCGACGAGATTGACTCCATTGCACCAAAACGTGAAAAGGTGAGTTGATATTTACTACAATAGCAGCCGATGGCTCAGTTATGATTAGACCAATGGCGAAGTCGAACGTCGCGTAGTCTCGCAACTTCTCACACTCATGGATGGTCTGAAAGCCCGGTCGAACGTAGTTGTGATGGCTGCCACCAATCGTCCAAACTCTATCGACCCTGCACTCCGGCGGTTCGGTCGTTTTGATCGTGAAATTGACATTGGCATCCCTGATCCCACTGGCCGTCTGGAAATTCTGCGTATTCATACCAAGAACATGAAGTTGGCTGATGATGTTGACTTGGAGCAAGTAAGTATCAAAGATTACACCTGGATTAATCATTGATGTACTACGCAGATCGCCGCCGATACCCACGGTTACGTTGGTTCCGATGTTGCCTCTCTTTGTTCAGAAGCCGCTATGCAGCAAATTCGGGAGAAAATGGACCTTATCGACCTCGATGAGGACACTATAGACGCGGAAGTTTTGGATTCACTGGGCGTTACCATGGATAATTTCCGTTTCGCACTTGGCACTTCGAATCCTTCTGCTCTCAGGGAAACGGTTGTCGAAGTTCCTACTGTCACATGGGACGATATCGGTGGTCTGGACAAAGTCAAGTTAGAACTCCAGGAGACAGTGCAATATCCAGTCGATCATCCCGAGAAGTTCCTCAAGTACGGTATGGCTCCGTCAAAGGGTGTCTTGTTCTATGGCCCTCCTGGAACGGGTAAGACACTCCTGGCCAAGGCCATCGCCAATGAGTGCAACGCAAACTTCATCAGTATCAAGGGCCCCGAGTTGCTTACCATGTGGTTCGGTGAATCCGAAGCAAACGTCCGTGATGTCTTCGACAAAGCCCGTGCGGCCGCACCGTGTGTCATGTTTTTCGACGAGCTTGATTCCATCGCGAAAGCTCGTGGTGGTTCATCAGGCGATGGAGGAGGTGCTGGCGACCGTGTACTTAATCAGCTGCTCACGGAGATGGACGGAATGAGCACGAAGAAAAATGTGTTCATTATCGGTGCTACTAACCGACCTGACCAAATTGACTCCGCACTGCTTCGTCCTGGACGGCTCGACCAACTCATCTACATTCCACTTCCCGATGAAACGTCACGGCTCGCCATTTTGAAAGCCAACCTCAAGAAATCCCCGGTTGCCACGGATGTTGACCTGTCATTCTTGGCCAAGTCAACACATGGCTTTTCTGGTGCTGACCTCACAGAAATCTGCCAGCGAGCCGCTAAGCTAGCTATCCGGGAGAGTATAGAAGCTGATATCCGGAGGCAGCGCGAAAAACAGGACGTGGAAGGGGATGACGCCAAAATGGAGGAAGACGAAGAGGAGGATCCAGTGCCTGAGATAACCAAGGATCACTTCGAAGAGGCAATGAAATATGCTCGTCGTTCGGTTTCCGACCAAGACATCAGGCGCTACGAAATGTTCGCTCAGGTTAGTTGTATTCTAAGGTTGTACTCAGGACTTCCATGACTCATTATATCCTATTAGAACCTGCAGCAATCTCGTGGCTTTGGAAATAACTTCCGTTTCCCCGATGGGCCATCATCAGGGCCAGACGGCAATGCTGGCTTCCAGGACGATACACAAGAAGATGATTTATACGCGTAGTCTACTCTACTTTGTATTTTGGACTGTCTGTGGGCTGGACGAACCTCGACAACAAATAGATTGCATGATTGACACGACTTGTTGATGTGACTCGGTGTGTAAGCGGAAGTAAGCGGGACTCTTTTTCGGCCGCCTCAAAAGTCGCCAACTTTGTTACTCCGCATCTCTCCAAACCACCAAGATGATGGCCTCCGTCTATGCCCGCCCGGCCAACGCCCTCCGTACCGCTGCCCGCCGCCTCCACCGTGCAGGGGCCAAGTTCACACCAGCACAGGCTGCGTCCTACTCGCTCTTGGCGCGCTCCGCGGCTGCCAACTGCTCCAGACAACCTGCCGTCCAGGTAAGAAAAAAAGAAGAAAAAAAACCTGGTTGAACTCGCAAAAGTACTGACGTGTTTCGAAAGGTCCTTCCTACCCGTGGCGTGAAGACCCTCGACTTTGCTGGCACCAAGGAGGTCGTGTATGAGCGGAGTGACTGGCCCCTGGCCAAGCTTCAGGACTACTTCAAAAATGATACCCTCGCTTTGATTGGATACGGCTCGCAAGGCCATGGTCAGGGCTTGAACGCTCGGGATAATGGTCTCAACGTCATCGTCGGCGTTCGTAAAGACGGTGAGAGCTGGAAGCAGGCCATGGAAGACGGTTGGGTTCGTATTCTCCATCGAGCTGCTGAAAATTTTTATAATTTTACCACTGTCGCTAGGTGCCTGGCGAGACACTCTTCCCGATCGAGGAAGCCATCAATCGGGGAACGATCATCATGAACTTGCTCTCAGATGCAGCTCAATCCTCGACCTGGCCAACAGTTGCTCCTCTCATAACCAAGGGCAAGACCCTTTACTTCTCTCACGGCTTCTCCGTCGTCTACAAAGACCTCACCCACGTTGTGCCTCCCAAGGATGTCGATGTTATTCTGGTAGCACCCAAGGGCTCGGGTCGTACTGTTCGCACCCTCTTCAAGGAGGGTCGTGGCATCAACTCTAGCGTTGCCGTGTTCCAAGACGTGACGGGCAAGGCAATGGAAAAGGCTGTCGCCTTGGGTGTTGGTGTCGGCTCTGGGTACATGTACGAGACCACTTTTGAGAAGGAGGTCTACTCGGACTTGTACGGTGAACGCGGTGTGGTGAGTTTTGCCATAGTATCCTTTTTGACATGACTTGTTCTAATGGTAGTCGACACTCCTTAGCTTATGGGTGCTATCCGTAAGTTGTTGGAATCATAACGTATCTTTCTACGCTGACGTCTTGAGTAGAGGGACTGTTTTGCGCTCAGTACAAGGTCCTTCGTGCCAACGGTCACACTCCCTCGGAAGCCTTCAACGAGACTGTCGAGGAAGCGACCCAATCATTGTACCCTCTGATCGGCCAGAAGGGGTGAGTCGTCTTAGTGGGTTTTCTATGTTTGCTCGTACCTGACTACTACTTGCGAAAGCATGGACTATATGTATAATGCCTGCTCTACCACTGCTCGTCGTGGCGCTCTCGACTGGGCACCTGTCTTTGAGAAGGCCAACCTCCCCATCTTTGAGCAGTTGTATCAGAGCGTGCGGGACGGTACGGAGACTCGCAAGGCACTCGAGTTCAACGGTCGCTCGACATACCGGCAAGACCTTGCGAAGGAGTTGAAGGAGATTGACGACCAAGAGATCTGGAGAGCTGGTAAGGCATTTCGTGTACTCTAACGAAGGTCAACTGATTTATTTTTTCTACCGCAGGCAAAACCGTTCGTTCTCTTCGTCCGGACTATAAGAGCGAGTAAAAGGATGGTGACAATGGTTTCTTTGTATGGCTGGGCTACTTTGCGCATCATCTTGCTTGGTCGGGTTCAAAAGCACTGCGGTGCAGGTAATTACTTAGGCGTGTATGGTATGACAGAATAGATGGCTTGGAGTTGTGTTTTGGCAGTACCTGTTGCAGTGAGATAGGGGTATTTTGCCACCGCTGGAATGTGTGAACCGCCTACATCTGGATTATTGGCCAGCACGGGCTCGCGTCCTCACAGCTTGTGAACAATTCTACCTCGATGGACAAGGATAATCGTGACGACTTCACGTTCGCAAAGCTTTCCGATCTCAAGCTGCCCGTAACCTTTCGCGTGTACGCATCTGGTATTCCTGCCCCCCCTGGGTGGCGAGATTCTGATCATGACCTACCTAGTTCACAACTTGAGGGTACTCGGCAACGGAAGTCTGTGCTGGAGGTGCTGGAAGAGCCAGAGCTGAGGCACTACGGTGCACAGTCGTCGTACGCGGATGTCTTTGCTTTCTCCGCTTCCCCGCTCATTCACGAGGCAGGACGCTTTCAGACTTATACGTCACTTGCCAACTGGTAGCTGAAAACAAACCGTTAACCATCCCATTCAGAACATCCTTTAAGGCCTTCAAGCACAACTATACGTACGTTCCTCAGTTCCGTCGTCATCCTTCATGGGATATACGAGAGTTGCTCAATTTATATTGCACTTAGTTGGAACGAATGGATAACGTTTCCCATACGGTACTGCGACCTACCGCTGAGCTCGCAGATCACCTTTACAGTGTGGGATATTGGAAGCCCACGTACGGCTGTTCCGGTTGGTGGCTCAACATTCAGGATGTTCGGGAAGAAGGGGTGAGTACATGTTCTTTGATAGTCCAGGCGGGAGAGTAAGTATGTGTAAACAGGACCTTGCGGAGGGGGAAACACCGGCTATTTTTGTGGCCAGATCAAGAGGCGGACGGTTCCATGGAATCGAAGACACCCAGCAAACTAGGTACGAGAGACGAAATGGGTCGGTTAGAAAAGGTTAGCAGAATCGGTGTGATCACATCCACTGTTCAATATGTCAATTGTTCCTTTCATACAGCTAGTCAAGAAATACGAGCGCGGGGATTTGCCCAAATCAGATTGGCTTGATAAAATGGCTTTCCGCAAGATGGAGGAAATACATGCAGTAAGTTTCTACCCAATCATCCCGGCAACTGAGGGTGGCTCACTTGGGTGAGCAGGCTGAGACTGCGAAGTCTAACAACATGTTCCTGTACATAGACATTCCGCGTTTCGATTTTCCAGTTATTTTCAGCGAACCTGTGAGTCAAGTTGGCAGGCCGTAGACCTCCAGCTAACAGCTTTGGGCCTAATTAGGAGACCCAGACCATTCCTTCAACGTCTGCACCAGTGACCACCGCTGCGCAGTTACCAATGGCACCCATCTTGCCACCTTCCTTTGCGACCGATCCTCATTTGTGGGCCGTCTCTGATCCAGACATGTTACGCGAGAACCCTGTGGAGGACAAACATCGGCGGTTGGTCCGAAGTCATCGTAGTAGCCCATACGACAGAGAGTTGAAGCCGAATGCTAAGATAAGAGACGAACTGGGGGTAAGCACCCGTGGTGGATTGCCTCTGGGGATACTAATGCAGTGGTGCTCAGGAAATGTTGAATTACCCGCCTTCGCAACCCCTTACCTCTGAGGAGAAGGACATGATATGGAAGTTCCGTTTCTACCTCGCTCGTGACAGGCGAGGACTCACTAAGTTCCTCAAGTCTGTAACTTGGAGAGACCCGACGGAAGTGAAGCAAGCCGTAGAGGAACTTCTACCTATGTGGACCGAGATCGATACAGATGATGCTCTTGAATTGTTAGGACCAAGTACAGTCGATTCACGTGTCAGAGCATTTGCAGTTAGGCAGCTCAGCAGGGCAGATGATGAGGTATCTTGTCATGTATGATCACCGTGCGGACTCATCCACTGAAAATTCATGCAGGAACTCATGTTATACCTACTGCAGCTCGTGCAAGCGCTCAAATTCGAAAGTGCAGCTAGCGAACAACGGTCTTCGCGGTCCGCAACTAGCGCGATATCGTACGACGACAGCGGATTGACGGACTTCCTCGTCACCCGTGGCGTACAAAATTTTGTCCTTGGAAACCGTTTGTACTGGTATCTTATGGTGGAGGTTGCCCTCGAAGACAAAGTCGTCGCGAAGATGTATGGCCGTGTCGTCTACAAGTTTCTTAACAAGATCCTTGAGGTATGAAAGCCTCGCTCTTTATTATTTACATCCTGATATATCCACAGTCGGAAGGTGGTAGCGAACGTCGTGAGTTGATGCGACGACAAGGACTCTTAGTAGAGACCCTTGGAAAGCGCGCGAGGGAAATTAGAACGTCGAAGGATTCTCGGCAGAAGAAAATCGAGAAGCTTCGTTCGTTCATAAATGATCCGAAGCACGGCCTTGTCGACATTTCTGCACTTCCTTTGCCTCTCAATGCGCGAGTTCAGATCACCGGAATAAACGCAGAGAAATCGTCCGTATTCAAATCTAACCAATACCCTTTCTTACTTTACTTCAAATGCACCGACGAAACGGAATACCCCATTATCTTTAAGGACGGCGACGATATGCGACAAGACCAACTGGTATTGCAGTTGTTCACATTGATGGACCGCCTTCTGCGCAAGGAAAATTTGGATTTGAAGCTGAGTCCATACGACGTGCTGGCAACTGGGCCGCAGCAAGGCATGATGCAATTCATCCCAAGCAAGACTATCGCAACCATAGTGAGCGAGCACGGGACGGTTCTCAATTACTTACGTGCGAATCATCCGGATGAGGGGAGCGTTGGCACGTACGGTGTAGAACCAAGTGTCATCGATATCTTTGTCCGAAGCTGTGGTAAGCTCAAAGTACAAGTCCCGCAGGCACTGCGTGCTGACCAAGCTGTGTAGCTGGTTACTGTGTTGTCACTTATCTACTTGGTGTCGGAGATAGACACTTAGATAATCTATTACTCACACCGGACGGTGAGTGGACTTAGTAGTCCAAGCTGTTCTGCTCCTGAGTTGGTTCCTGTAGGCCACTTTTTCCACGGTGCGTGCGTGGTACACAGCATTCTGGCAGTTTGTTCACTGACGTTGCCTTTCAGTGGACTTTGGTTACATACTTGGGCGAGATCCGAAGCCATTTCCTCCACCTGTTAAGGTTTGTAAGGAAATGGTGGACGGGATGGGCGGCGCACAATCAACACACTACGTGCGGTTCAAGAATTTTTGTTTTACGGCATTCACCATTTTGCGCAAGAGTGCCAACCTGATCCTAAACTTGGTAGCCCTGATGGTCGATGCCAACATTCCAGATATCAAGCATCGTGATGTGCACGAGCAAATCCAAGAAAAATTCCGACTAGATCTTACGGAAGAGGAGGCCATCAAACACTTTGAAGCCCTGCTGAATGAAACATCGTATTTCACGGTCGTCCTTGATCGGATACATGACCTGGCACAGTATTGGAGGAGCTGATTTTTCCACGGTGTGGCAGCAGTAGTTGGTTGCATAGAATGTAATGTGCAAGGGAAAGCTCCGCAGTGCTTGTCAGTTAACGTGCCAATGATACACATTACAGTAATGTAGAAGAAGTTCTGCCAACCTAGGCATTCACACAGGCTGAGTCGTGTGTCCAACCAAGATACGGTGACTCGTCACCACCACTGCCATGCTACAGTAAACTCGGACTTCAAAGAATAAACCATAACAATCCGCTCATATGATAATACGGTCACCAAAGTATCGGGTAAACCGATTGTTTCGTGTAATTGCTGGCGTCTGCGGCTCGGCGTGTGTTGGCCATGGCATATCTATAACTCGTTTTGCTGTATGATACTGTAGATTCTTGCATTTCCGGCGTATGGTTGAACAACCTGCGGAACGTTCGTATATAACTTCTCCATTGAGTAATTGAATAGGACGCCACCGCCACGCGACTTCCATGAATCTGGAGGGCACGGTCGGGTGGCGTGGACAGTTCCGCGATGGAGGGCGCGGGGGGTTAGGACCCTTCCCACGTTGCAAGCCCTCCAGACGCCTCGACCTCCATGTTGATCGATCCCAATATTAGGTACATGCTCCACGCAGATTGAGTGCGTACTCCTGTCTTCTCAGCCATAGCCCGAGGTTTTCCCCACAGGAAGGAAGTCCATTGCTTTGTCCTCAAACAGAAAATAACACGCCAGGCCAGGCGGCAATGGCTACCGTAATCGCAGTTACGAGTTGCCACATGTTAAGTCATCGGGGAAACTTCTCCAGCCAAGCGTCATTTTGATTTACCAGTCAGTCCACGACCGGTTCCTAAAAGCTATCCAGGGCCATCCAGTGATGCTGGTGCAGTGGATGGTTGAAGTGGCGAGACCAAACGCGTGCCGCCGTTTTGGGTTCACTCGTTTCGCCGGATGGAACCAGGAGGCTGGGAGCCACTCCTAACGCTCTTTCCGGCTATACCAGACGACCTCTCGGATGTGACGCCAGTGGAAGCATAAATAATCAGTAGGTACCATGGAAAGACAAAGATCTCCGAGTTCTCTCCTCCGCAGGGTTCTGTCCACTGTTCAATACTCATTCAAAATATGGCAAGTTCCTCGCAGCTTTTCAATGAGGCATTCACCGACGAGGTAACTTTCATTTATCTGTAAGACATATCCCGATAACACCCTCCTCAGGACGAGCAGATATTGGTTGGCTTCGCCACGCTCCCCGCTGATCGAAAGCCCTATCGGTGCGGCTGGATAGTTCCTGGTGGTGTTTGTAACGCGGTCCTCCTTGGAGACTCGTTCCCGGTACACTTGAGAGAGTGTCATGGCATCTACGGTAACGACAAAGTCAGGTTCAAGTGTGAATGGGTGGAATGTGGGTTGCAGATGAATAAGGAGAGCATCGTGCGGCATGTCACAGAATCGCACCTGCAGTACAGGCATCGATGCACCTTTTGTGGGGAAGTATTCTCGCGCAAGCACACCTTGAACGGACACCTATGGAAGAGGCACGGCCTCAAGGCCGAATAAAGAACACCCTCGTGGTGGTGAGCCATGCGTTTCGGCTATTTTGCGGATGCAGTTGCTGATCTATCTGGCCGGTATAGCGGATACACCGATAATATGATTTTCTCCCTCTTTCCACACTTGGTAGGCTTACTTAGAAGAGATTCCAATATCATATCATCGCATCGTCAGCATAATGATTTCGTATGAACCCGTAATACATACACTTACCTTACCGTAACTGTGCTTGTCCGAGGACTGGTACTGTACTCAAATGATTCGCGTTCATCTCTAAAAATTTGGAGGAGCAAATAAACACAGGTGAGTGTGTCTCTACTACTGCATTTCGATTCTTAGTACAAGTGTGTTTCAGTAGTACCCGTACCATGTTTTGTTTTTCGGCCATGAGGCCATGTAAGCGACGGTGTTCCAGGGTGCAATGCATTTGTGAAATCGATCTCGTTGCGATGAAAGATAAGGATAAAGGAAAACAGACTCGGAGTATAGAGTAAGCTCCAATGTACAAATATGCGCGCGTGGGACAAGGTAGAATGTCGGGTCATTGCAGTAGCCCTTTGTTTTGTGTGTTAAGCGTCGCCCAGATCCTATTTTCAACCTCCTCGATGATTTCGCGGGACGTGTTCAGACTTGTCATGAAATATGCGGTATTTCCCAGAGTTCTGAAGTGGATTCCAAAGGAATCACCTGCAAGGGTCGATGACCTCGACCCGTGGTGATTCACGACGTCTTTAATAGATTGGAGTAATTTCCGGGCGCAGTGCGAGGCATAACCTATGAGAACGTAAGACGAGTAGTGTTTGCATCACTTCAAAACCCTACCCGTATTGTCCTCGTTAAACTTGACGGTGAACACAGTGCCCAAAGTCATGACTTCCTCAACGATATCAAGGTGGGACACAGCTTGCGCGAAAGAAGGATCCCAGAAGCTCCATATCGTTGATCTGGACTTTGCGTCAGCGGACCACTTAGCCTGCGCTGTCTTCCATGGTTCCTTCTGCAGCAGACCACTGATCAGATCCAAAGTCTCATTTGCAACCTGACATCCGATGGGATGTGCCGTATAACTGTGCCCGTGTAAAAGTGCGTCTGCTTTGGACTGGCTGTGGAAAGCTTGGAACACGCGGTCAGAGGCAAGCGTCACTGCAAGTGGTAACGTTCCCCCGGTGAGTATTTTTGCATAGACCGAAATGTCGGGATTCGCTCCTAGCAAAGGAATAGCGCTCTCCAATCCAAGGCGATAAAACCCAGTGAAGACCTCGTCGTAAATGACCAAGAGGGGAGTCGAAAATAGCGAAGGGTCACGGACGATGTCGACGAGGACTCGCTGGAAAAGCGGGTCCACGAAAATCATGCCACCGGCTCCCATTACGATCGGTTCCAGCATCAGGGCGGCCAGCCTTTGTTCGTTAGAGCGATTAAAGGTTTGGAGCGTCTGTCGCATGAGCAGTCGATATGCCTCTGCAAGTGGGGAGGAGAGGCGGCCTTCAACATCATACAAAGCGTCTAGAGTATCAAAGTGGTGAGTGGAGGCTACTGAGGTGAACATCGGATTCGGGACTGAAACCACGAGCTTTCCTCTCTTGATGGATACGGTAGGCGGTTCGAACCAAAAGCCTTTGGGCTGATGCCACTCACAGCTATAAATGCTCTTTTTAGTGGCGTCCATGGCTCCTATCGTGTCCCCATGGTAAGAACCCTTCAGGCCAACTACTCCAAGGTTTTTTCTTTCGGCTGGCGTCAATGCCGGCACAGCTTCAATAGAAAACGCTCGCAAAGCCATTTTCAACGCGACCTCGGTTCCAGTAGAGCCGTTGTCGGAAAAAAATGCGCGTGAAGCCCACCCTTTTCCAGGGCCGTCTTTAACAAGGCGCTCCGCTAACTTCAAAGCTGGCAGGTGGGTAGCCTCTGGAAAGATTACATGGCCGTACCGCCCAGCAGCGCTGGCAGCTGCTAATGCAAGGGACGGTGTGGAATGACCAAGGCCTTGGGTCCACCATGATGCCGAACTATCGAACTGTGGAGAGAGAAGGGAATTATCGGAGGAGGCGGTCTCCGAGGGTGGTTCGGGAGCGCGCTCGTAAACACTGAAGAAGTCTCCCCAAGCACTGTCGATGACCGTGACATCCGTTTCAGAATTTACCAGTCCATGTTGTACGAAAGGCCACCAGACAGTATCCAGCGTTCGACGAGGCATAGTGTCAAGTTCTTCAATACGACGGGTATGGCAGTCGTCCAAGTGACGAACAGCTTCAAAAATATCACCGTCTAATCCGCCAGGCACTATTTTTGCGTAATAGGCTTCAGTGTTTTCTGCGTTTTTGGCATGGTTGTCAAGACGCGGAGGGGGTGGATCTACTGAGAGTACGCGTAAACCGCGCGTAGTGAAATATGACGATAGATATTCGTAGTTCCGGTAATAATGATCTCGGAAAAGAATGACCGCGTCGACAATGTATCCGCGAAGAAGTAACGATTCATACGACGAGATGGTTGATGATATACCGCCGAGTTTCGAGTCCCCGACGAGTATGGTCGGAAAAAGCAACGGTCGATAACTGTCCACCTGAGTGGTCCCGCTCAAGGTAGGGCTGTGAACACCTTCGAGCTGCGTGAGTTCAAAAGGTCCTCAATCAAACTCATTTTGTCACCTCCGGCTGTTTCAATATATACGTGCCCTGCTGGACACTTGCGGGCGCATGATCGAATGTATTGCGCTACGTTGTTCAGGAAAGTTCGGTCGGATGGGACAGAGACCTAAGGCAATTGTGATAAACACCATCGTTAAAACTGTCGATTCCCTCACCGCATTTTTTTGAGCTCCGGAAGCCATCTTTACCGCAAGGTGAGGGCTCACTGGCTCGTCGTAACGAAAGAGACACCGTGTCTCGACGAGAGACTGGTTCGGACCAGCAAAGCGTTTAATATGTCTGTCGCACGATCAACCGCATATTACAGAATCACGATGGTTTACAACATACGCGTCGTCGGCATCGTGAAGTGGACCTGTACTTATTGGCTTGAGGTAGAAAACAGCGCTATTTTTCAGGGCAGATGCGCGCACGAGAGCCGTTGTGATGATAGTTTTTCCTACATCGGTGTTAGCACCGAAGACTTGGTGGATGCGAAGGTGCCGATAGAGATGGCTCATGTAAAAACTACGATAGCCCGAATATGTTCCCTCGGTTCTTCGTTCGTATGGAGACCAGCGATGACCGCTGGTGCGTTGCTGGTGACGAGGACGAGCAAGCTGCCATGGTTTTACAAGTCGGCCTTAAGAACACAATTCACTCTCACGAATGACAAGGCCGATTGACATTCTGATCCAACACCGCGCTATTACACCACGCAGCTGTCTGTAATGAAATCCAGATAGAAAATATGTCAAGATGTCGGGTAAGTCGCAGCCTCGTTGGTATCCGGGCGAGTTGGCAACCCCTACCCATGACAGAACCTGAGAGAACCTTACTGGCATAGACGCTTGATAGACCCTGTTCCCTGCCATAGCTTTGCCCTTTCCTGCAACTTGCTTTCTTGGTGAAATGCCCTCCAAGAAAACTGGCAAGATCATTGCCATTCGCACCAAATTCAAGAATCCTCTCAAGGCATGGAAGCGAAACAACCCATTGCACGGTCGCTCGCCCGCTGCAGGTATTCATGTCGTCTCAGCACAAATACTCGGATTGCAAGGGCTCCCCGCTCCAGGCCTGCAAGCTTCGACCGCCGCCACTCCCTCCAGATATTGGGCCCGAGATGTCTCCGACGCCATTCAGATATCTGCACCTCTGGTACAAGCAGCCGTAGATATAACCCCAATCGCTGGTGCTCCGATAAAGGCCGCGATTGGGGAATGTGACTTTTCCCCAAAGTACTATTCTTGAATCTTAACCACGCTATTACAGCAACGCATCCAGAATAGGGAAGACTTAAATGCCCTCACTCGCCATCTGTACGACCTTAGTTGCCACATAACGAATGCTCCAACCGCTCGAACACCCTCCGAAGAAATTAGCCGGCGGGCACTGATTAGGTATGTCGCTACGATGTATCCGTGCAATATTTGGTCGATGCAACAGGGTGGGAACATAAGCTATTGCTTGATCAATGTACTTCCTTTCAGGTGCGCCCCTGTGACGTGAGGATGCATCACGGGAAACTTATAGTATGCATTTTAGCAACCTCGTGACGTGCTCCCTAGTCTGCTATACCAATGTCGGCCAGATACAGCTGAGGTTCAAAGGTGGTATGTTCATAGGGGACAATACGATTTTGTGCTTGACGATGACACTGATGTAACACAACTGACAAGGGAAAATAGTCTCCGGTCAGGAATTCAGGCAGGGGCCGGGATCGTCATGAGGATTATTATTGAAGAGGCCGTCAGCTCATTCCTGGCAACATACCGGTGCCGTTGTGGAACTTGGAATGATACGAAGGTTTCCACTGTTAGTCTCCCTGATGCATCAAAACATGGTTATAGCATCACGTGGTTGGTGGACGTCTTCTACTCCCTAACAGAACTTACAGTGAACCGAAAGCCGCCGATGTAAGCGATGGTTTCAGATCATATACATGGAAGGAAAGAGGTGGAGAATAGTACCATTGCGGAGGAAGAAGGCGATGATAACGAACCGACATGAGAAGCGAAGTACCTTACTCGCAATTTTGTGGCGAAGCAAGTGGTGCGTTGCAAATGAAACTACCCTGTTGTCGTAGGTAGGTTCTGCATGCCAAAATGACACTATCCTCGGGACCGGCAGAGGTTGGTTGGCTTCGATAACGACAAAGTCACGTTCAGCTGTGAATGGGTGAGATGTGGGTTGCAGATAGGGAAGGGGAACCTTGGGCGGCATGTCGTGGAAATGCACCTGCGGTACAGGCATCGATGCACCTTTTGCGGGGATGCACTCTCGCGCAAGCACACCTTGGGCGCTCACTTACGGATTCAGCACAACTTCAAAGCCGACTGAAGAATGACCTCGTAGTGGTGAGCCACGCGTTTCGACTATTTTGCAGTTGCCAGTTGCTGGTTTGACTAGCTAGTATAGCTCGTTAGCCGAGACTTGGAAGCGCTTCCAGTGTTTTACCGTCTCATCGTCGGCGCAACGAATTCGTATGACTATTCACGATACTTACGTTACCGCAATTGCACTCATTTGAGGGTTAGTGTGTTGTGCTAATCCTAAGTCGTGTTGATATGGCTTCTAGGAGTTGCAGGAGCATCGGTTCTCAACGGGATCACAGTACTCGGTATGCATCCCTACTTCGTTCTGTCCATTAGTTCTTAGTCACAAGTCATAGATGTATAATCCAGCAGCAGTACCTGTACAACCCTATATTGTTGACCGCGGCAAGTAGCCTTGATTTCATGTAAGCGATCGTATCCGACACGACCAGCATGCACCAGTAGAATCGCTCTTGTTGCAATGAAGAAATACGACTGTAAACACCTTCGAGTCGGGTAAGTTAAAAAGATCACCAAACATGTTATTCCCTCCAGCTGTTTCACCATGCAGGTGGCCTGTGGGGCACTTGCGGGTGCACGACCGAGTATATTGTGCTACATTATTCAGGGAACTGAAAGTTGGGTCAGAGACCTAAGGCAACTGGAAAGTAAGAGTAAAGACTACGTATCATTAGAACTGCCAACGCCCTCGATGATCGCATTTTAACATTTCTGAGGCTCTGAGTGCCATCTTCATCGCAAGGTGAGGACTCACTGACTCGTGATAACGGAAGAGACACGGTGTCTTGACCAGAGCGCTTAATGTGCCTATTGCACGATCAACCCATACATCGCAGAATCACGGTGTACAACTCACTCATAGTCAACATCGGCAAGTGGACCTGTACTTGTCGGCTTGAGGTAGTCAGCATTATCTTTTCATGGCAGACGTGCGCACGAGAGCGTTATGATGACGGTGTTCTCCTATATCGGTGTCGGTAACAAAGACTTGACAAATGGGGAGGTACAGATAGAGATGTTCCTTCGGTTCTTCGATTGTATGGAGACCAGCGATGACCACTGGTGTGTTTGCCCATGGCTCCAAGTCTCACGGATGACCAGGCCAGTTGGCATCCAAGACTCGAGCACCGAGCTATCACACCTTCCAGCTGTCTGTATCGGAACAATGGAATCTAGATTGAAAACATGTCCAGATGTCTCCAAAGTTCGCGTGTACTACATACCAAGTACATTAAAGTAGATCATTATAGTACGGGGGGAGAAGAACACTGCAACAAGTCAACAATACACATCACGAATGTATTGCTGGGCCCAAGGTCCTAGCTCGTTATCGGCTACAGTAATAGTGACGCCGCAGGTGGCGAAGTGTCTGGCGACGGTTTCTCTGGTTATTCCTTCTGCGATGCCGATATACGGCGCAAAATCAACGTTAGGAGAGACGCTAAATGCCGCTCTCCTCAAAATATTCTCGTATGCTCCTGGTTCAGAAAAGAGCTCCGTGACAACCGCCATGAACTTTTGGCGCGCATCACGAGACTCTGGGTCATTGGGGTGCACTTGCGGGCGAAGTCGAGCGACTCTTCGACTTGCCCTCATGTCATAGATGTTTGGCCGCCCCTCTGCATCTCGCCTAACGCCTTTGGGACAAGAGCTTGGATTCGCTGTGTAATAGGCCACCCACACCTCAACCGCGTCCTCGAGGCGAGGGTTATTCATGGGAGCGGGGACTTTGGGTACGGAAGTGGGATGCTCCCAATCTGGGGTACGCCAGGTCGACAACAAGAATCGCTGGACCTCGGTCTTCTGCTCTCTTGGCGTTTTGTGAGCTTCCGAGCACAGAGCTTTGACTTTCGTCAGAGCTTGGTAGTTGCCTGGCTGATGAGCAGCTCGAATAAGTGACTGGATCTGTTTGATACTTTTGGGCGGCTTATTGGACCTGTGGGACGCTGTGGCAAACTGCCAATTCTGTGTCACGCCCTGTTCATCGGAGAAACGATGGAGAACAGGGTCATCGTCGACAGAAGGCTGCCCAGCAGAAAGGACGGCTGCGAAAGAGCGGGCAGCGACGCAATCTGGGAGCTGTGCCTGCGGCGAAGCGGGAGTCGCCATGGGCGGGGAGACATGTTGGGGAAAGAATGACGTTGACAGTTCGATAACAGGTGGTTGCTCGACAAGACTGGCGTCATGTTGCGTATCCGATGGTCGGGAAGGCTCTACCGGATCGACGGGCGGGGATGATTTGGATGAGACAGATGCAGGTGCAGCGATCTCGGCGGACAGAGTGTCTGCAATGGCCACATGGGGCTGCCGGAGTTTGTTCTGCAGTCGGTCACGTTCCGCACGAGTGGACTCCAGCTGCGCCCGCAAGGTGAAGAGCTTCTTCACGAGCCTGATTGCGCTCGGCGCGGTAGCGTTCGACCTCATCTATGAGATCCCTCTCCTCCTCCTTCTGACGGCGGACGCCCTCTGAGATACCCTTGCTGTACACCTCCTCTCTGGCACGCTTCCGATCTTGGAAAGCGATTTGGAAGGCTGGCTGATGCGAGGAGTAGCTCGCGTCAGCGACATGTTTCATGTAGGATGAGCAAGTGTCACATCCAGACGGATGCACGATTCCGTAGTCCTCGAGGTACTCCCATGGCGAAAGAAGAGTGGGAATTCCACGAGTATCTCTGAGCGAGACAGCGCGGAAGGGCTCGTCGTTACTAGACAACGCGTACATTACTGGGCTGTATGGAGCTGAGTTCGTGCCCGTAAAGGAAGGCGCACCAGGCGATATTGAGGCGGAGGATGACGCTGAGCAAGGGTATCTGTGTTGTTGCAGGACGCTGCTGACAATCTCATCAGAGCCGGCGCCTGATATTCTCTCTGACACGTGCCTGCCTTGAGGACACACCGGTCGTATTGTAAGCCATCCCCTGCCTCGTGGCGTCTGTTTGGTCCTGTTAGGATCGGAAGCCGATGCAAAACAACCCACAACACGCCCCCCACATGCTAGTCAAAGATACGCGTTAGAACAATGCGGATTAACGGTGCACTGGCAGAAGAGCTTGCGTGGACATGGAATCGGTCCTCTGACGGGAATCTCTTGTTGACCTGATACCCAACATGTTTGAAGACGTAACATCAAAACATGGCTGACGCCCAGGCCCCACAGCAAGGGTCCCGCGACCCGCCACCGAGTTGTTTACCTAGAAGGCGACACATAGAAGCTCGGCTCCGTGCCTCACACGAAAAACACACGCTAACCAGACTCGTATTCGACACAGCTATCGGTACATAGTAGTAATACCTTGTACTAACCCGTGTGAAGGCGAAGTAAACATACAGCTGAACCGGGATGACCAGGCGGATGTCTTTCATATGACGTCTTCTTGTGATATGCGATCTCTGCAACATGGATCTGTCATACGGAATAAGCCTATACGACCTACCCCATTTCTCGGCGACCGCGATAAGCTTACCAGGATATCGGCAGTCAGACCCTTGATGGGAGATGCACATGATCTGAAACGGTGCATTCGGTAGACGACGCTGGTGTCCACGACATCACTCATGCTCTGAACACGGGTACACGAGCCGTCTTCTCACAGAAAAAATGCCGTTGACGTACGTGGAGGTCTTGTGGGTAAGGCCAGTGTTCACTCCCCTTCGGCACCAGCGGCTCGTTGCCCGCTAACTGGGGATCCAAGATGGCCTCGAGCGGATGGCTGAAAATGCGGTCGACTTCCCCGACGCACGGGGTGAAACCAGCAAGCAAACCGACATCCGTCAGCAATGCGACCACAGGTGTGACAAGCAACCCGGAGGACGAGAGGAACGGCTGGAGAACGCAAAGCTTGTGAACGTGAGCACAGTTGAGCGGAAGGCCAACTTCTTCATGAGCTTCTCTGAACTGCCGATATCGAGTTTGTATCCCGGGTGGACGTAAATGAAACAAAGACTGTTCGTGCTTACGGCGGTGTCAACGAGACTTGTGTCGCTCTCATCTGCTTTCCCTCCGGGAAGCGCTGTCTGCCCTGGGTGTGCTCGGAGGAACTTTAGAGCGGGTCGTAAGGACAACTCTTAGCTCCCCTGCGTTCTCATAGAGCAGGACGAGGACAGCTGCGAGCTTTGCCTTTGGTTGGTTGGATCTGTTCCCATCGAGATGCTGACCAGTCCAAGAGCTGTCGGAAGACTCAGAGCAAAATCAACACGCACAGATCCGGTCTTTCGAGCTCGTATTCAGCACGAAGGAGACATTCAATGCAAAGCTTTGTCTTCTCCGAGAATGTTTCAGCGATTGCGCCCAAGGTAGGTACCCCGATAACCATCTCGGACAAACCCAACATAGCCTTCCGACCCGGCAGACCAAGACTTAAGAGAAGACAGTCGTTCCCTCCTATGAAAAGTTGTTCTGACGTTGTCTATCACTTACATATTACAATCGGTGTAAGACAAAACCCTCGAACCCTCCGGTATTACATGAAATGAAATACAGATAAAGATAGAGGAGATGGAAACTTGGCTCACGATCTGCCCCCCAATCGAGGGATCAGCGATCGTTGGCTAGTAGATTTGGGCGCTTTGCGGGGCTGCCTTCTTCGTACCTCTGTGTCACTTTCTTCTGCGTCTTGCACATACCCTACACCCATGAATACGGGTGGCCCCCCGCCACCGCCATGCGCGAGAAATCCTTTCCTGTTGCTCTTTGTGCCCGTGGCAACGAATACATCATCCTCGAACAACTCACCCCCTTCCGCACTGACAGCCTCGGGTTGAGCGGTCCTCAGTTCCTCGTCAAGGGTTGGAGGCCGACGGTCATCCTTGGATCTAGGTTTGAAGGATTGACTGCCGTGCAAAGATGATCTTTTCCGGGATTCCTCCCGAGACGAGGGGATGAGGGAGATAAAAGGGACAGAATCTATGCTTCGGCTGTTGGTATCACTGTCGGAGTCTGAAGCAGGAGGAACATATTTCGGTTTAGGAGTTGAAACTCGGCGCGCGCGCGCAGGCGCCGCTGGTTTGCGTGGCGTCGAATCGGGAATTGGTGACATTGGTGGCCTTTTTTCGAATATATCACCTTTGGGCAACCGGGGGGAACGAGGGCTGGGGCTAATCGCTCGCGACCTGGAGTCGTGGTTGACGTCTTCGAGTTCCAAGTCAACATCGATGATTTCTGGTTCGCGTAAGTCGGATCTCCGGTCAGTGGCGGCGGGTTGGGGTCCAGGAGGCGTTGAGGGTGTTTGATCCTCCAAACTCCCATCTCCATCGCGCTCGTTGTCTGAGCAGAGCGATGGGGTGGTGAGGTCTATTTCATTCATGGACAATGATGACCAGGACTGCTTCTCGAAATCTGGTTGATGTAATTTGGATGTCGATGCGGAGAGTTGAGCCCTGCCTCCTGAAGGTGCAGTGTCATCAGAGGATTGCACCAATCGACGCTTGGTCGCACCTGAGGCAACCATCAATCCAAAATGTCAGAAAATACATGACGAACAGTGACATACGAGACGAGCCGAGTTCATCACATTCCCTTGCATCAGCTTTACGTTTCTGTCCCGCTTTGAGAAGTAGTTCTTTCGCCAACAAGCTGGGAACGGCATCTCGAACATTAGCAAGTGACCGCCGGCGAGTGAGCTCCTGAGTTGCTGGTCGTATTGGACCTGATGCCCAACTGAGCGCACTGGTACTCTTGCTGAGAGTGGAAAATTCCGGTGCTTGGCGGGTCGAGATAGTTGCGACGCCAGTGGTACTTGCAGGTGCAGTACTTACCTTCCTCAGACGAGCCGTCTTTAGTTCGTTGAGGAACGCAGCCATCTGTTCAGAGGGCACGTTCACCGTGGGCTGCCCCCGTCTTTTCGATCCAGAACGACCTAGCACACTGTGGTTGATTGGCGCCTCGACTGGATGAGCGGTGTGACGGAGTGCGGCACGCGCGTTGGCGAACATAGCATCAGGATTCGACGATCTGGTATCTATGCGGATGGGAAGAAGAGCCGGGAGAGGTGGTGGTGGGGGCGGTGGTGGTGGCGGAGGCAGGCCAGTGGCAGATGATCGTCCTTGACTCCTAGAGAGCTACAGGAGAATATGAGATACTGCTGCACGACGGTATATCTTAAACTTACCTCTTCTCGAAGTCGCTTTACTTCCTCTTCAAGCATTTTGATGCGTTGCTTGTCCCGTTCGTGTTCATCAGAGGTACCACTACCACCGGCTTTACAAGGCGGGTTCTCGCGTTGACGCTGTTCTTCCTTCGCAGAGGCTAGCTCGCGCTCCTTCGCTTCTACCTGCACACTATCTGAAGGTCCCCCTACTATGAACATCAAATCATCGTCCTGCATGCGTTCTTTGCCTTTGGAGGAAACCTGTGGTCTTGGTGAATCTGAAGGAGGCGGAGGAAGTGCTTCAGTGCCAGGAAGTGGGACCGCGTGGGGGTTGGCGGGTGAAGGTTGGGGGCTGGGTATTCGAAGGGAGAAGTCGGCCTCGTCGCCGGAGGTGACATTGAAACGCTGCATGGCATCCTGAACAGAGGCAACGGGGCGAGTGAGCCAAGGGGAAACATGGGCATCCAACGATGCTGCTGTTACTAGTGTTTTTCCGCCGTCCACTGGGTTAGTCATGCTGCTTGTACCGCCCGGTTGGGGCGTAGATTCTTCTGGTTCCAGAGATGAAGAACGAGGGAAGAGTGAGCCCGGCATGGTAATGGACGGTTTCTTCCTCAACGTAGGCAGAGACGCGGATAGGGATTGAACAGAGGATGGTTTCGGTTGCCCATGATGCGGAGGTGGGGGCTGGGACTGAGGAGAGTCGCTCGCGGACAGCTCTGCGAGCACTGATAATTGAGCATTCGTCGGAGAACAACAATATACGCGCTTCACCCACCTGCGTCGGCATCCGCGACGTATGCCGTCGATGTATGTTTACGATGGTGCTTTCTCGCAGCATCAGCTGATTTGGAACGGGACTTGGGCTGGACAGTGTTGGTTTTACTGGATCTCCTGCGTTCCCGGTGGTGTCTCGAGTTCTGGTGTGCCTCGTCCTCGCTCAGATGTATTTCTCGCGCGCGCCGTTCATGTTTTCTCCTCCTGCTCGAAGGCTTTTCCGATTTGGTCGTTGAGCTAGATGCGATGTTCACCTATGAACATACTCAGACTGTGTCGAGCGAGACCTGACGTGCAGCCGGACCCACCTGACCACCCGTGGCATTTACGACGAAGGACTCGATTTCTCTGGACACGAAGCTAAACACGCTCGAGAAGAGACCTCCTGAACCTGGATCTTCTTTGCATTTGGGTCTGTGACGTGCAGTATCGCGTGCTGGGCGTGCCATGTGTGTACGGGGGGGTTGGTTGAACGGCAGTCAACGAGATGCGCGCGGATCAACAAACCCACACAACTCTGATTAGTTTATGACACCGAGACACACCCTACTATTGACCGTGTCTGATAAAAGATTGTCCAAATAAATTAGACGCAGTGCAGAGTAGTAACGTACAGAAAAGGTGTTAGTATACTGTGCAGTCAAATCACACCAAGCTATGTCAACATGAGATGACACCTGCCGAGCAACGAAAGCAAAAGGGTATGGAAAATCTTCAGTCGCTTGCAAGGTTGATCCACGGGTAACTAAAACGTGTGTGGGTGACGGTCGAAAAGTGAAGTCCCGATGCACAAAGCATTGCGTTAAGACAGTAGCAGGAGAGTGAATGTATACAGTCATCAATAACCCGTGTACGATGTATAGGAAGGGGGTGGACCCGAAGTACCGCCGGAAGTAAGGGATGCGCGCACGGCTGCATACGGGTCAGCATACTGCATCGTCCGGCTGACTCGTGGGGCATTTGCATCCGCAGTCGAAGTAGTGGTAAATGAACTCGAAACTCCACCAAAGCCGGTTGGTGCAGGGTCTGAGAACGCGCCATACACATCCAAGGAGTGGCGAGAGGTTGCGGCGGGGGGTGTCGCATAACCGCTATATCCGCTGTCTCGGTAAGCACCACTCGAATAACCACTGCTCATAGGAGCAGTGGTAGTCGCAGATACACCGGAAAATCGGTTTGAGTCGTCGAAGGGAGAGTTGGCGGCGTTGGAATCATCATAAGTGGACCGGCGAGGTACTGCCGTGGCAACGGGCGGGATAGCCGTGGTAGTTTGGGAAACGGCTGCGGCGGGCAGTGGTGCAACCGATCCAACCGGTCGATAGGCAGTGTGTTCTGGTTCGTCTTCTTCTTCTTCGACTTCTTCAACATCGGGTCGCGTAAATGGAGGGTCCTTTGGGCGTTGTGTAAGATTACCAGATCTCCAGTCAATAATCAGGAGGACGAGGGATGCGAGCCAGAAGCCTGTGACCAGTCAGCCAAGGGAAGATATGGAGGAAGCAGCGAGCAACCCTACCGAATGCCAGCCAGAAAAAAATGCATCCCGCCTTTTTCGTGCTGCACCAACCAGGTAAAGCGGTAACAAAATCGTCACCGAGACTCGCGTGTGGATCGTTGCTGGCGTTCTTACAGCCGGCTTCCGTCCACGCAGATATAGTTGTTACGAATCTGTATAGACGCAGGCCAGAAAAAAAAAGCTTTAGCGGTCAAGACGCGGGAAAGAATGAGTGGTGCGCACGCAATGAGTAGACTGAAAGTACATCCGACGCCGGTGAGGATGAACCCCACGCGAACTTCCTTGAGTGCTGTAGCCAACTTAACGAGCTTGTCGTATTTTTCGTATACGACGGGAACGAATAGCATGAAAAGCGAGAGAAATATTCCAGAAACGGATACGAAGATGGCGAAACCAGAAAGTCCAGCTGGGAGAGGAACAATGGTTGGAAGTGAAGGAGACGTCGACAAGAGGGCGAATTGGACGTACATGGACCAATGCCCCATTTTGCCTGGAAGCTGGCTACACTGGCGAAGCAAGCCATGGAGATGAAGTTGAAGAATGCTTGGGAGGTGTGGAAGATGATGGCAGGTTTGGATATTATCATCTGTGAAGGGCGTAGGGAGTCAGTGCCATCGTGGATGCGGGCAAGTAGAACAAAGAATGACCGCAAGCCATACGACCCATAGCAACGGGACGAACAGGAGGAGGACCAGCGTGCCAGACTGGTCCATTCAGACATGGAGAGGACAACAAAACCGATTACGTAAAAAACAGCGCAAGGCTCCCTTGGGGAGTTTTGCCAGGCGGGTCGTCGACGCAGAACAATTAACATGTGAAGGGAGAGCCTCACGTCGTCTTCATACCGCACCACTCCGTTCCCAATGCCACCGGATAAGGACGAGGAGGCCATCGCTGGCTTTCTGCGTTGCGGCAAGATGCGGTCCAGCCCGTTCTGCAAAGTGTCCATGAAAGACATGGTATTCGTCTTGATAGCGATCTGTCGGTGGGGAGTATATACGTGACACTGACAACACAGGAAAATGGCGAATCCGCAGCGAACAGCCCGTCTGCCTGCTCTCATAAGTTTAAATCTCCAATGCCCAGCACCCATTTCATAGCCAGAGGCAGTGAGATTCACGTGACACTGATTACGTCATACTCTTGTCTACGCTAATAACTCAAAAGATTGCCCTCACCAAGCCTCCACCGATGGCAGCACCTGGTAGACCATGTCAACTGGAGCCACCAACGAGACGCGACAAGAAAAACCCACCAGCACCGAAGCCAACACCGCCAGCAGCAGATTGCGCCATCTAGACCTCTGTTGGTTAGCAGACGTCCCCACCCGAATGAGCTCACCCTCACCGTGTTTCCATACTTGCCAAACCTGTTCTTCTTCTCCGTCTGTCCCGTAGATTGCTGTAGACCTATCGAATTCACCCCATTCCCAGCAGGGGGCGGCGTGTCAGTTCCGTGGAGGGCAGCACCGAATGGATGATAAGCCTTGCTCGCAGCACCAGTCTGGGAGTCATGCGCAAGTTTCTCGACGTAGTTGGCTGGGAAGAGGGCTTCTCGCCCGCGCGCTCTCCCTAGCCACCAATCCTCGTTTGTCTCGGTAACAATTTCAATCGTCTCCCCGGCCGCAAAGGAAAGATCGTTCGGTTCCTTGAAAGGCCATATCAATGACTGAGAATGACCGGCAAAATGACGTATACATACAGCGCCATCTTCATTGTACGCCCACAGTGCCCGCGCATACACGGGTGACTGAACCTTTTCTGGGGGAGGTGGGACAGCCCGTACGGCCGTGTTTGCTGGCGAAACCACCTGAACATTGGTTTCTGCCCTAACGACAGTATTAGTGGCCACTGGCAGTCGCATGATGATCTCTTTCATGGTAGCAGCATCTTGAGCAGACAGGTACTTCTGTGATTCGAGAAATGCGACGTTGAGTTGCATTTGACTGGCTACATGAGCAAGGAGTGCAGCTGCTTGGTGTTCCGACGGAGCTGCCATGGTTATTCGTCGTGATGAGGGGCAGCTGGGTTCTTGAATCACACGCCCCGCTGCCGCAGTGGTGAGCATCGCCTCGACGCAGAGCATAGGATTTTCATCTACACGCGATGGTATCGGCAACCGTTATCACGTCTGTCCCGTCGTTCGTGTCTCCAGAACAGCACAGTGAAATTGTCAGAGCAACTCCTGGCTCGTTCAGCGACATCCCACCCGTCCTTCGTCACAAGGAAGATGACATCTCTGTCTCATTTGACCCTGCTCTCGAACAATTCACGGCAGAGGATGGCAAAAGTGGCACGCTGTATGTGATAGAGAGGTAATATCCACTGGATCTCCTCTCCTGGTCCATGCACTGACATGCTGCAACAGCGCACTCGTCTTCATGTCCCCGACCGGTCGTGGTTTCCAAATCCCTTACCCTGCGATCACCTTGCATGCGGTATCGCGCCCACAAGGAGCCAGCCCATTTATATATTGCCAACTCGATGAAGTCACAAACGACACTGGCGGTGACCTCGAAAATGTAGATATGCGAGAGCTCACCATCACCCCCAAAAATCCAGCTTCGCGTACGTACCTTGCTCTTCAAGTAGGTCAAATATTAAGATGTGACCCCTTCTCCCTCCACAGTAGACCCCATTTTCGAATCATTGTCGCTCTGTGCGTCATTACACCCAGATCCAAACATGTCGGAGGATGAGGATGGCGATGACGCTTTCATAGCTGGCGATCACTTCGAGACTTTCACAGGGGAAGATGGGGAAGAACTAAGTGAAGTAGGGCGGGTGCGCAGCGATTTCGTCAACGATCATCGTTATGCACCATACTAGACATCCCTGCAGGCAGCTCTCGAGCATTTGGAATCGATCATCTACGACCCTTTCGAGCAGCGAGATGGTTAACGGTAATTCAAACGGTTCAGAGAACGAGTGTATTAGGGAGGAAAGTGGTGATCGTTAAGAATGCGGCACTCCCTCACAGCTTATGCATAAATATTGCACGTCTTAATCTTGATAGATTGTCTTTGCCTGATTTTGGGAAGGAGTGCACAAGGATGAGTTCAGTTTCTTACACTTGCAAACTTCATACATCAGCCTTCAGCTTTACTTCTATACAAAGTTCGGCGTATTTAAGCACCAGCCTTCCAGTAGGCGATATCTCCGTCCACCACTAGAAGACAAGTCAGATAGACCTTGAAAACCTGTCTAGTAGAGGCACTCACTCTCATATGGTTTGCCTTGCTGCCTCAATTTTCCAGCAGCCTTGACGGCGGCTTCGCTGCCGTATTCCTTGAGATCAGCATACGTCATGATCTCACCACAAACAAATTTGTTCTCGAAATCGGAACTGAAACAAAAGGTCAAGGTGGAACGATGTTTGGAACGGGAGCAACAAACTGAATGACTCCAGCTGCTTGGGGCGCCTTGGTTCCCCTACGGATAGTCCAAGCGCGAACTTCATCGGGACCGCAGGTGAAATACCTGATTAACTACTGTCAAGTGTCAGTAACTTCTTACTCAACAAGACAAAAAAGCGACGGACATCCAGGCTAGCATAACCCGCCTGAGTGATCTTGCCTAGCGCACTCTGGGCACCTTCCTTTTGTGCTTCAGCCTTTTCTTCGTCGCTAAGTGAAGACAGGCGCTCTTCAAGAGCGACTGAGAAAGGTATCAAAGCATCACCGGGATTGTTGGTATCAATCCAAGCCTTTATCTTTGGTAACCTGGAATCGATAATGAGGCGGGGCCACGGGCATGAAAAAGAATGCAAATGCAAACCATTTGTTCTTCTTCCGCGCGTAATCCTTTTCGCTCAAGTTGACGAGGTAGGTCACCGGCTTGGCAGTGAGGAGAGAGAGACCGTTTACAACTTCGATCTAAGAAATAGAACCCAAGTAGTTAGATCGTTTCAACGGATGGGAACAAAAAAGTTCAGACGAAATGGTTATATCACTGAAAAATAGGGCGTTACTCCTGTCTCAATGAGCTGGGTTAATCGAGCAATAGCTCTTATTCATCAAGGAAGAAAGGATGAAATGAATGTGGAGGAAAGACTAGCCTCTTTGTTCGTCCATTCACCTTTGCGGATGTCCTTGCAGTCGACAGTCAACGTCTTTAAAACCTTCTCTACGGTTGCCTTGCGATTCGTTCGGTGAGGCAACGTACGGGATGTGAAAAAAACAAATGCCTCATACAATTTCCTCTTTCTTAGCTTTATCTGCTAAGCTGTTGTTTCCCAAAGCACGACCGCCTCGCTTGAGGGCATCTAGTTGCTTCTCGACCCAATCTATGTCTTTTAGGCGCAGTTCGGTCTGGATGATTTCCATGTCTCGGATAGGATTCACATCACCCTCCACATGGATGACTTCGGCATCATCGAAGGCCCGTACGACTTGGAAGATGCCATCGACAGCACGGACGTGTGACAAAAATGCATTTCCGAGACCAGCGCCCGTGGAAGCACCCTACAAGGAGCTTAGTTTCGAACAAGGTTGCGGTATGACGAGTTTACGCACGGCTGTCAGTCCGGCGATATCGATACAGGTAAGGAAGGCGGGAACCCGAGAAACAGGTTTGTAGAGGTCGCATAGCCAGTCGAAGCGAGTGTCTGGGACTGGGATACGTGCTTCCTCTGGATTTATGGTGGCGTAAGGGAAGTTGGCAGCCTTCCCGAGATCTGGGAGGAAAATTTAGACAAACCCTGAAGTAGGGCAAGGATGGAAGTACCGGTGTTGGAGAGGGCATTAAAGAAAGAAGACTTTCCGACATTTGGTAGTCCTATGGATAGAGATTGGAAGGCGACACTACATGACAGAGGAGGACGCACCTACGATGCCAATTTTGAGGTTATTGCTCGGGCGACCGAGAAGGACCTTTTTTTCTTGGGCGGGGGCCTTCTTTGGGGGCATCTTCCTTTTTGCTTGAAGGTATGCCGAGGCCGAGAACGGTCGTGTCAGTCCAAAGGTCGACAACGGATGCGGAATACGGAGCAGCCATCGATCAACCATATCAAAAAAAAAGGTAAGAGTTATTTAATTTTTATAGGCTTAGCAACATTATGTAATATTTAGGGAAAGGTCCTTGGTCCCTCGATGCTCCCAAGCGCAGCATACGCCTACTAACCCTTACGATGAGAGTCATCCAGTTCCTCAACTTTCTTCTGTGGGTGGCCTGGGCAAGCGCACAGACTCAGACGGTTCCAGACGCGTAAATCGACCAGAAACCTCTGTCCGGGTATGCTTTGCTAAACCTCAGCAGTGCAGGTGCTACAGTTGTGGAAGTCCTGACGACGGATGCACGTGGTGCAGCGGCGACATCGATTCTGTACGATTTTCATGCCACTCTGTCAACGTTGGGATGCTAACAGTTTGGATCAGATCCACCCTCTCGCCGTCGACGACGACGAACTCGCTACTAAATCAACTGACACAAACAACGGCGACAGCAACAACATCCACGCCAGCCGGAGGAGGAGGGGTAGTGGAGCAACCAGCTTCGGAGGCACTTACACCAGGCGGTCCTACACCTTACACATATACCACCACCAATGCTCTTGGTGAGACCGTAACCATGGAGGGGATTTTCACGCCTACGGGGCCTGCGACTGTACTGCCTACTCCGACGACAACGGGAACGATTCTCAACTATTCGTCATGGCTGGCGATGGTGGGCACCAATACGGTAGCAGCAAATGCAGCTGGCCGTATATCCTTGTCGATAGCCACTGGCTGGTATTGCCTCGTGGTGATGGTCATGACCGGGCTGGCGAGTGGTACATGGATTGTCATATCGTGATACTGTCGTTGAACATAGACATTTTTGGACAGCTGGTCCATCCCACCTACGTACCCACCTGGGGATTCATAAGGACACTTTCCGCAACCCTCAACCAAGCATGGCAACCTTGGTTGTCCGGGCTATGTTTATATACCTAGTAGGATACTTTGTAAACATGCTAATATGTGGACTGGTTATTAGAGGTCTCAAAGGTTCATCCGCAGAGTACTGCCATCAATCGTTTTGACCGCACATATGAACACCAAGCTGTCCAGGAGAACAAGCAAGTTACCAAGCATTCCAGAAATGTATTCATTATCGAATCTCTGCAGCAGTAGCCAGTATAAGCAGGGGCAAGAAATCTTTAGGGTGGAGAAGCAAGGGCAAGAGATGTCTGATTTGGCGAAGCTAGAGTGCGAGATGGTTGAGATGCATGAGAAGATCCCCCCGACAATAGACAAACTCGAAGCACGACCTAAAAATCTTGGAAAAACCACATGAATGGGATAGACCTCTCTTAAGACAGAGTCGTGGACCCCCAAAGAGCTAGAGCCATATGATGTAGAGTCAGAGTCCAATGGTTGTTCAGTGGCATACATAGGAATCAAAGAGATGATGTCATTGATCGGTAGCAACACGAAGTTCACAGTCGTTGACATGGTTAACGCCGGACAGCAACCAAACTATCGTTATTATTGCCAAGCTCGGCGCCCATCATGGACGGGCCACCTTCAGAGGAATCTTCTCATCTCAGCTGGGCGAACGTTACCCTTGGCTTTTCATTCATCATCTTCAACGCCGTCGTGTCGACTTCGTTCAACCTCGGCGTAGGAAATTCCCTCATTTCTGCTTCCTTACGGTGCATCGCACAGCTTGCGATCGTTGGACTGCTCCTGCAACGTGTATTCGAGACAAACAACCCATGGGCAGTCGCAGGGATAGCTTGTACGTTCCTCACTCGTTCGTGGATGTGTCAATAACAACCGGTCATATGGACGAAGTCTTGTTAAATTTCTTGGGTACTGTCGAAGCCGGTGGGTGATATCACAACCCGTAGCGAACTCTGTCCCTCAAGTTTATTTCAATAGTTGCCAATAAATCCAAGAAACGATTTGACCACATGGTGACAGCCCTTCTTTGTGCCCCATTCGACGTCCTGGCGTCCTGACATCATCCTCAGTTCATCTCCGTCCTTGCATCAATGCTAGGCTCGACAATTCCCGTTTCTATCATCGGAACACGATATGCTATGGCAGTGGAACCGTTCTGGAAACCGGAACAATACAGTAAGCGACTTTCCTTCCCGACAGTCTTGCCAATGGTTAGACTCACCTTTGTGAAAAGTCCCCATTGTGGGTATGCTTTGTGGTAACACAATCTCTGGCGTGGTCGTGGCTGTTACACACGTTTTAAAGGAGTTGTGGTGGGTGTTTTCCTCTGTGCACGTCTTATGCATGACTCCACCGGAAATTCCAGTGATAATCGCGACAAGATCGAGACATATCTCGCCTTTGGTGCATCGCGGTTTGAAGCATGCACACCTATTGCCCGAGAGGCCCTCCGTGTCGCGCTAACACCAACGATCAACCAAATGAGGTCCGTGGTGTGTCCCAACTCAAGTGGTCTCTCTAATGACCATTCAGTGTGATTGGCATTATATCCATCCCTGGTATGATGACTGGTGCCATCCTTGGAGGCTCCTCGGTTTCGCAAGCTGCAAAACTACAAATGATCATCATGTTCATGATTTCGGCTTCCACTGCTCTCGCTGCGATCGTTACAACCATGGTCTCCCTCGCCACGGTGGTGGACAATGACCATCGTGTGCGTCCTGATAGGGTAGATATCAGAGAGCACGCGATCTGGAGAGCAAGGAACCGGCTAGTTAGTGGAGTTATGGGTGGCGTGAAGGCAGTTGGGTTGACAGTGATAGGTTGCTACAAAAGAAAAACTACCAGGGCGGAGGATGGGCACAGGGAGACTGAAAGGTTGTTAGGATAGGATACCTGTACTAGTGTAGTGCTGTTTGCTACTTATTAGTATACTAATACCAGTTTTTGGTACACAGCACTGGTAGCCTTTGACCCCGAGGGGTGCTATCTGCGTGCATCTCCGTCAATGTCGACGACGACAGAGCAGGCAGGGCAGGACTTCCTGGCAGTGGCATGCGTTGTCGATACGTCCATTGCCGTTGCTTCCGAGTGGCCACGCATCCTCACCGAATACATATCCCCCCTCCTCAGGCGCCTGAATGAGCTCCATCCTGCCCACCAGGTGATTTCTTTTAGTTGTCGTTTCCAATGATTTCCCACTAACCTGAGACAGTTTCGTCTGGCGTTCATCACCTATGGTGCTGCTGATACGCGGCCATCTCCTCTGGTATCGAACATGTTCTTCTCCCCTCTCTCCCTTGCCACCAAGGAACTTCGTGAGGAACCTTCGAAGCTCGGTATCGGGCAGACATCGTGCAGGGGAACCCGCGGCTTGTCTGCTCTGGAAGGACTTGTAGCAGCCATCGAGGTAAGTACGCAAGCCCTTCTTCTTGCCGTTTTGCCCGTCTGTACAAGCCATTTCTCCAGCATTTCGATACTTTAATGATGTATGGCATCCCCATCAACCCGTCGTCCCCTCAGAAGGAAAACAGAACCTTCGTGTCCCATCTCATTCACATTGCGGCTTGCCCACCAGACAATACTCAAAGGCCCCAATGCAACACACTGCAACACCTGGACTCTGTTACATGGGATACTCTTGCCACAGAACTAAGGAAGGTGAGTGGGTTTTTCCTTCGGTGCTCTCCTTCGTTCATGTCCCGTGTCCCAGAGGAAAATACACCTGAGTTTAATTAGCCTGCGCAAGGTTCAGCAGTTTCAAGAACTACAGTCGGCTGTGTGTCTTCTATCGAAGCTCCCTGGTGAAAACTAAGCTTTTGAGCAGGTGGCTGGTAACGGGATTCAATCCGCGTGGTTTAACGTTCAACCATCCCATGTTATAGCCTTATCAGGGTTTCCGGCTCCGTTGAAGGCCGTTATGAAACGGCCAACCGAATCCTCACAGTCCGATCGCAACCCAGAGGCAAAGCGGCAAAGGGTGACCAGTGGCGATCCGTCCCAGAAATCATTATCCGGATCCCCAGCCTTGTCAGCTGCGCCGAAACCTACGCGTCCTCCATCTGCTCAACCTCCCCATCCTCAAGTTCCATCGATCACTTCACCGTCTCAATCAACGGGCGCTCAAATTTCACCTTTCACACATCCGCCTCAAGTAAACCCTCAGCACGCAATACCACAGTCGACCGCCGTCCCCACCACTTCGCAGCCAAACCCTCCCCAACAATCCTTACCTAATTCTGCTGCGATCGTGGAAAGGCTCAAGCAACTGCTCAAACAACTGGAACTCGATATCAAAAACATAGACATGCGAATCGGTGCTGCTCAACAACAGGGTCAGGCGACCGCCGTAGCTGAGCTTCAGAGGGAACGTGCGGAAAAACTCCACCAAGGGATGTCCATCGGACAACATCTTAGAAACCAAGTACAAGCCATGCAGGCAACCTTCTCTCGACAGGCAGTGACTCCTCTTGCGGCGAATGCAGATGCAACGAGGTCTGGACAATCCGCTACCCAAGGTGATTTGGGCGCTTCACCTTCTACTCTGACCACACTCGGCATACCTGGTTCACAGGGCGAGAGATCCGCCAGTGGAGGAGTTGAAGAACAGAAGCTTCAGATGTCTCCGGCGCAGGCTCTGGCCCAATTCTGGCAATCTCGGGGAGGCTCTGTAAATGGGGCAAACATTCATTCGGTTGGTCCTAATCAACCACAAGCGATGACTCCAGAGCTCGCTGCGCAGATGAAAAAATTGATCGATAAGACGGGAATTAGGCCAACGTCCTTTGGTCTTGTCCCTCAGTCTGCGTCGTCGTCGACATCCCAGGAAGCTAATATGAATTCGAGCGCGACAAATAGCCAACCGAACATCCTACCTGTCTGGGAAGGGACATTTAGCTGGATGGTCCCTCAGGGGAACGGTCAAGGACCTATAGACGTGCAAGCGCATGTCCGGGGCTTTGCCGACCCGCGATCGTCTGCGAATCTGTACGTCCTCTTTGCTTATTTAGCGTGGAAGCTATTGAGCTGTCAGTCTTGCACATACATGGCCGAAAAATATGGCCCTAACCTTCTGCAAGGAACCGCTCAAAGATCCCGCAGAGATTGTGAATTGGATAAAATGCCATCAGCCACTGCTGATGGTGCATCTCTTAAGCCCTCGCGCAAATGACCCTGCGTCGAACGATGCTCAAAGTTTTCAGTCACTCACCAAGTTGATGAATGAACGTCACATTGTCAGTTGTGTCACTTATGGCAATAAGGATGATCACTCAATTCACATATCAGTACGCGTATGCTGGGTGGAAGTTGCCGAATGGAAATCTTTCTAACAATATTGTGATCTTTCCGTCGGGCAAGTCTTTCAAGGGTGCAGTTTTCCCTGAAACTGGTTTACCTGACCTTCCGGGAAGTGGCAACGCTTTGGAGCCCATAAAACCTGGGGGGGGATCGCATACTCCTCGAGATTTAAGCCACCTGCCTCCAGCCCTCCTCACGCAACTCCGAGCCTTGGATCCTGCCAAGCGAGAACAGTTTCTCAAACAATATGCGATGCGGGTACAAATGCAAATGCAACAGCAACAGCAACAGCAGTTACAATCACAGTCGACGCAAGTGCTTTCTGCGCAGGATTCCACACTTGCGAAGGCGAACACCAATGTGATGGCTCCCGCTTCCGGGAATATGTCCATGGCTCTTCCTGCGAGTATTCTAGTCTCCAATAATGGTACTTGTCGAGGCTAATCTCAGCACGTTCGCCTCAGCTCACTGCGCCTAACGTTTCAAGACCCACGGGCGGCATAATGTATGGGAATGGCGGCGGAACGGTCAACATGGAGATGCTGCAGTCATTTATGCAGCGGAATGCAGCAGCATCACAAAATACTAATCCTGGGTGATTGCTCCAGGATTGGACTATGGCCAATTCTTACAGCCAGGACATCCGCGAACGCGACCAAAGTATGAATGACCTTTACATATTTGCCCGCAGTGGAGTCCCACGTATTGATACCTTGTACATATGTGCATAGGAGGAAGGCTATGATTGGGTAGTACTAAAGTTGCCCTCGGTTCCTTGAATCTTTTCGTGATCTGCCAGGTTCGCCTGTGCCTCGTAGACAGTGATCACAGGGTTTTCTTTACGCTGGAAGCGAATCTCAGGTTGTATCAGCCTCATAACCGAGTTGTACATACTTGGCTCCAATGCCCGAGGAAACCAATATAAAATAATTTGGTTGTGTCTGCCCCTCGATTGGAAGGGATAAAAATGGACACGGACGACAAGCTACTGAATTTCGCCGCCCTGAAGGTATGTTAGCAGGTAGAAAGACTTCACTCGCGGTGAGAGTACTCACTTGACCGGGTACTCACAAACGTCAGGTGAAACCGCGACCTCGAACTCCTGGGTTGGGGTACTGTCCTGGACATCGCCGAAATCCAAGCTTGGCGCATTCGCATACTGCCGCATTCACCAATGTGCGACTATTCCGAATGCATGATCAAGTTTGGGATGACCTTACCAGGAGCACTTTTTCTGCTGTTTGATCGCCAGGGCCTGTTTTGAGCAGCAGCATCCTGAGTTTGACGGACCCATTGAAGGGAACACGTATGATCCTCCCATTCAAAGCACTTAGCGCGACTCTGTGAAGGTTTCGGGTCCTTACAATTGTTCGTCTGTATCAGATTCCACAAACTAAATGTCGGGGTGCAACATGAGAGGGAGCTCTGCGGCAAACCGTCTCAAGTAGACCAGCGTACCACATCTTCATTCCTTCGTTCATGCCATGGCTTTATGAGATACGATCCTTGCGTTGTCGCGTTCAAAGCGACTACATTTGGGCGATCAATGTAAGGGAAGAGATTGTCGTTGGGACCGACGTCATCGTCATTGAGATTATGATCATGGTCACCATGACTGCAACAATTGTCGTGGTGGTCGTGGGGCATCTTATCACTAAGTAGATCACGCTATCGTCGGTGTGTAGGGTCAACCAGTTCAAGATGTATCGAATCCAGTGTGTTTGTTTGGTCGTGACTCCCATCTTCTGCTCCCACTTTGCTCTGCTCCACATCCGCTGACGTGAACGGTCCTCACTAGGTGAGTGTCCCTACACACCTTGTAGTATGTATGATGTCTTGTAATTTGCGTTCGACACGCGGGCCTTGCGCCAAAAGACGTGCTCGCCGGCACATCCTGAGGTCCGCGAGCTGAGACAATTTTCAACTTCTGATATCACACTTTTCGATGTAATGTATCGTTCGGCTGCTAACTAATTTTTTCTTTTTCAGTGACACAGCCAAGGATGTGAGCGTTGTGCTGGTCATTCTTCACATAGTAACAATGGATATGTTGGTTAGTTTGGCTTACCTACGATGTCTCAATCCCCAGACCTGGGCGCATCGTCGTCGTCCCCAGAAACCGGTACTTTTGAATGTAAAGTCTTTAAGCCTCTTACATCAGCCGTATCCCCCCAACGTGCGTCTACGCCGCTGTTGTCGTGTGGCGAGACGCAAGAACTTACACCTGAAATCTGGAGTGGGAGAACTCCCTGACTCATATTTTACACCTACTGCGGAAGACCTCAAAGCTGCGCAGGCGACCTTGACAGCGCGTACTCAGGCCCTCACAAACGCGCCACTTCAGCTACGTGCAACAAGGGAGGCCGCAGAGAAGGCCAAGAGAGACAGATGGCCGAATGTCTGTGGGCATGTCGCTGGATGACTGACCAGCTTATTTCCATTGCCACAGACCACCATTCGCATCAGATTTAGCGATCGAACTCAGCTGGAGAAGACGTTTCCTTCAACCGAGCGTATACAGTCTATATATACCTTCGTTCATTCATCCCTCCGCGATGACGTGAAGCCAGTCAATTTCATGCTATGTATGTCACCCCTATGGAATCACCAAATGAATTTCTTTTACCATTCACTCAGATCAGTCCCCTCCCAAGCGTGAATTCAAGGTCTCTGATCCGAAAATACGAGAACTGTCCCTTGTAGAACTACAATTAGCCCCGTCTTCCGTGCTCTTGGTGCGCTTTGAAGATGATTCGCTGAATAGTATGTCCACCTTTCCCTCCTAGATTAACCTCAGAAGGTTTAAGCATCTTCTTAGGAAGTAACGTCCCAGCGCCACTATTACCAGCTCTAATGGCGCAAGCCATTGAGTTGCCAGCCCCTCCTGCCTTTGGGGGGGACGCAGACGCTCCGGGGCGTGCTGCCTCATCTCACACGAAGGCTACATCTGATAAGGGGAAGAAGGTGCCCAAATGGTTGAAATTAACACAGAGTGAGTGCATAACCTCTGGTTATACCTATTGGGGGCCCATAACGATTGGTCGCCAGGGAAATGAATATGGTAGAATATTTACACAATTTTTCGAGCATACAAATATTATCAATGTTGTGACGGTAAAGGACAATATCAATAGATCGGAAACTGTGGGTCAATATGTTGAGACCATGCTCTCAGACCTCCAACGACATCTCTGACATTCAGGTTGCGATCAAGGTCGCGAAACACCTGTGCAGCGATCTGGGAATCATTGCCGAGTCGACAAAGAACGAAAATCTTGGTTGTACAGATTGCAGGTATATGGGTGGCAGGTTCGGCAAGTAGCTCTGAAAGTGGAATACCTAAACTTTTTGAGTATGTGTGATGCACTGAGGGATGGTCTGTTACTTTTTGATCCTGGGATATGACAGATGCCAAATTCCGTCCTGGGTCGCACGTCAATTAATAGGTACTGCTCCTGTAAATCCATTTCTCGCCGTAGGTCCTAGAATTATCGAAATCAGCAATCAATTAGTTGACAAGCAGAACTAGTACTTCTACTCTGATCCGCTCTCCAGGACTTCCAGCTATCAATCCCTGCTCCAGCCAATTGGGTCTTGCACCTCCACAGAAAGTAACATAATCCATCCCCTCGATAATATGAGGTTTCGGCCCCTGCTGTCCGCATGCAGGACACGTCGGCTGCCTAGCACGGAGTTTTATAGAACGGAAAGGGGGACTGGAGATCGCAGAGAAAAGTAGAAGAGTGGCATTTCCATCTAACCTCGACAACAATCCGGCGAGAGTTGTGGATTCTAATTAAGGGCACGTACCATGCAGACCTGTGATCAACTTGACAGCCTCCAGTGCTTGCATGTTGCCGATGATACCTGTCACAGCACCCAGTATACCTGTTTCTTCACAAGTACCAACTGCCTGTGGTGCAGGAGGTTTAGGAAATATACATCGGTAACAAGGGCCGTTTTGTCCGAGATTGTAGATGCAAAATTGGCCTTCATACTTTTGGGCAGCACCACTGACTAGGGGTTTTCCGAGCCGTACGGCAGTGTCGGACAGCAAATACCGCGTGGGTGCATTGTCCGTGCAATCCAAGATGACGTCGTAAGGTTGTAAAAACGACAATGCGTTCGAAGGACTCAGCATTTCGGTCAGTGTAGTAACTTGGATGCTGGAGTTGATCCTACGGTCACGCGTGATACACTGGTACGGCACATCGAATTAGATCGGTACTCACCTCCGTATGGCTTCCGCAGCCGAGTAAGCCTTCGGCTTCCCAATCATCTGTTCGCTATGCAAGACTTGCCTCTGGAGGTTGGACAGCTCGACCTTATCGTGGTCGATTATGCCAATATGTCCTGCGAAAGTTTAGTTAATCGCGAACCTTATCGCTCGCACGGTGAATTGCGTACCAACGCCAGCGGCGGCAAGATATTGCAGGGCCGGACAGCCAAGTCCACCTGCACCGACCACGACTGCTGATGACCGCTGTAACTTGATCTGACCTAAATTCCTTTAAGCTATCAGAATGAAGCTCCAGCGAGGAGTTACTGAGAACGACCTTCAAGACCGAAGCCGTCCAGAATCATTTGCCTGCCATATCGAAGGTAATCACTTGTATAGAGCAATCTATCTTCTGTTGGTCCAGGGTCCATCAACTATGATTTGCGCGACTGTCAGGTCCACAGCTCCTATCCAGGTTACATAATCAAAACTATGCTGCTCTCCCGAAGTTACACAATCACAAGGACCCATGTCAACCGCTGCGCCAAGCCGTATCGATGAGTTCCCTGCAGCCAACGAACCATCAGGCTCTGGAGTGTCCCATCCGAGAGATGGTGCAATGATGCATTCAGGTTCGCGGCGGACTGCAAACACCTTATAATCTGACTTGTTTCTGGATGTTTGAGCAGGACGATTGCCACCAGTACTTCCGTGGCCAGACATTGGTCGTATTGCAAAATGGTCTGTGTCTTCCTACAAATTCGGGTTTGGAGCAGAATGTCTGAGGGATGGTGACCCGGACACGTTCTGGCAGTGCGTATAATTATGGCTTCAGAAGGCGTAAAGTAAAGACAGACAGCTCGGACGGACCACAACCTCACTTCATTACAATAGAGTTCCCTCAAAAAGTCGCCATACAGGTAAGTGAGATTGGGAGTGGGTTGAGCGAATTCTTTTTTATATATACGAAACACCAAGAAAATCAGTATCTACCTTAGCTGGCCCCAAGATGATTCATATACACCATCCACCCTTGCCATCCGTGCCGGGACTGGTCCGAGTGACCTGCAAGACGTCAGAATGGCCACTTTGGACAAGCCGGATGGCTGGATAACATTCGACGTTTCCTCCGAGCTTGATGAGGACGCAACTTCATTGTAAGCCATCAATATCTACGATTAGGTAGACGTAACTGACATTTTCGCCATAGCAAACCGGTTCGTGCATATGTGCTTCAAATTATCGTCGTTGCCAACCACATGAGCGGGAAGGACACCCACATTCGTGGACTTAGAGTGTTAGGGCCCATCGAGTGCGCTGTTTTCCCAGAATTCTCCAGCAAATTACTGAGCTACATTCGAGTGACAATGCCGCAGAAGACGATCCGTTTCCATTTGTCACGCCGGCATTCAAGATGTACGAATACCTTCGATAGCTGATAATTTTGCGTCCAAGTTCATCATATTACCCGCGTATTCTACAGCCGTTGAATAACAATATATACGCAAATCGATTGTCCATTGGCCAGTAAGTTGGGCCCATAATTCCGTGGTGTACCGGATAATAGCAGTTTCGATGAACGAAAAGACGACATTGGGTACATTTCTCAAGGCTTCCTAGTCAGGCTGATATGAACGAGGATGCTGCGGCACCGCGCCGTAGCTCGATGTCCGACTGCTGTCTCTCATTTGAGAGTATTGTGCTTGCAGATTGCTATTAAGTACTTGGCTGGAGTAATATGGTTGAGTACCATTTGTGTGATGCGGTGGTGCGGCAGTCGTGGCGTGCGGGCTATCATTGTGCGGGTATGAGACGGGTTGCCATTGCCCGGGACTATGCATCAGTGGCATAGGTACGGTGGACTGCGCCTTAACTACTATCAGTAAAGAGCACGCAGCAGCGCCGAAACGAAAATACCTGGGACGAAGGGGGATAGGGGCGTATTCCAGGGCTTTGCGCCGAGTAGGGGGGGTGGTGCGAATACTGATTGTGTTGTGTAGTCTCTGAAACTGAATACGTAGGGCGAGAGGTGGAGAAACTACCCCCCTGGGGTTGGTAGTGGGCGAATGTGACATTCGCGGACCGCGGCTGTTGGTGGCAGTACTGCGGTGCACGCAAAGGGGAAGACCGTATCTCAGATTGGTTTTCGTAAGTGTACCTTCCACTCAAAGCAGCTGGTGGATAGTAACCCCCGTTCAAGTAGTTACGAGGATAGGGGTAGTAGGGCTGCGTCCCAGTCGTGTAGTCCGTTGTGCGGCGATCCATGGTAGCACTCGGGTGATATAGAGCTCCGTGGTTGGGTGGTGATGTTTTTGAGTCCTTCAACTGGCACCGCTGACAAACAAAATCATCAGAGTCCCAGTCTCGTTTCTGACGGCGGGCCAAAGTATCTTGTCTGTCATGACAGGGGATGTGTTGCCATTTGGAACACAAGGTACAACATACGACAGGTACACCATCATCCTAAAACAACGATCACTAGAGTTCAGTGGGGAAACAGGGGGATGCTTGCCTGGTTGAGGCCTTTACGAAGACAAATTTCGCAGTCGAGCTCCCAGGTCTCTGCGGAGATGCGGGATCCACTGCCGCCACCGTTGACAGAAGGGACGCTTGAAGAAGTCACACCAAGTTGCACGAAAGAGTTTGGAACTTGATCGGCTTCCTCAAGTCCGGCATGCTCCCTATAAGAAAGGTAAGAATAAACGACATAATGGATGGGGGTGTTACCTCAGTTCTGTTTCCTCTTCTTCCGCGGACCGCTGTTCACGCATTTCGCGTTCTCGTCTCCGTTGTTCCCGAGCATTTTCTCTCTTCAATCGTTCTGCTTCCTCCTTTCGTTGGCGAGCCTCTAATCGTCGGGCTCTGCTTAACTTCTCGTCTTCCTCTTCGCGTCTTCTCCTAGCTAAGCGCTCTTCCTCTTTTAGTAGTTCTTTCGTCGCTATTCGGGATGAGCGTTTGCGGTGAACAACGGCTTCCTCCATACGTCGCTTCTGTTCCGCTTCCTGCGGCAAAACAAGTCAGGCAAACGGATCCATTAGTATTAAAAAGATCAGCCAGCTAACCCGAAGTTCTGCTGTGATAATCGGGACGATGTTCTGAGACAAGACCTTGTACAATGCCTTTTCTGCGTAATGAGCCACGTTTTCAAAGCGTCCAGCAATGTTCTCCCACTCTTCAAGAGCTACACATATCTGTGGAGTGGATGAGTGACGTGGCAACGTATCTGATCAAACTGACCGTCTCCCACTCGACAAAATCACCAGGGGGAAGGGGATGCCGATCTGTAGCTGGCTCTGCTTCTTTCTCTTCTTGAGTGATATGCATGTCAGAGACACCAGCATCTTCTGTAACACCAAGATCTTCCTTGGACAGGACGGACTCTCTTGCCTCCACCTCCGTTGCAGACGCCCCAGGTCCAGGTTCCGATTCAATATCACTAAGTTCCGTAAGGTCACTGACAAACTCGTCGTCGCTCTCTAAACCTGTCTTTGTGCCGTGCTCTCGCCGGGACGGGGAAGGCGAGGGCTTTTTGTCGACTGGGCTTGTAATTTGGGTATTTAACCATTCCTCCGGGATCTCTTGCCATTCGTCTTCTATGACCGCCTCCCCTCGGAGACGTGCACTGACACGAATTCCAGTCAGTCGGTGCTGGTTACGGGAAAGAGAATTTGCTTTTGAGGCCTTAGTGCGAGATAATGAAGTTATATGGCGCTCGAATTTGGCGAGGTCCTTGGCTTGCGCATCAAGTTTCGCATTTGCGCGAGCTTTAGCAGCGCGACTACCCCTTGAATTCAAGGGATTTTCAGGAGCCTTCTGACGGGCGGACTGTGATGGTATATCTCGGTCCAATCGCTGACGTTTGGATGAAGCGAGTCGTTCTTGAGAGACATCGTCTGGTTCCTTCGGACTTCTTACGTTCGGCTTGCGTTTCCGCTTGGCGGTTACTTTTGGTGGCTCCCGCTGGATCCACAAGCGGTCGGCTGGAACCTTGGCAATCACTATAATGACGCCTTCGGCGGGGCTTCGACGTACCTCCGATCAGCCAGTAAGCGTTTCTTTTGGCGTCATAGCCAATAGGTTCGATTCTCTTTAAAATGAAGGAATGAGTCGTTTCGATGTTTTCCTTATGGCAAACACGCACCCATTGCGCGTTATCATCATCGTCTTTCATCTGGGAACGCAGGCGAAGGGGGTTTTGGAACTGCCATTCTACCAAGGTATGAAGGGACTCGAGTTTGGCAAGCATAGGGAGTTCCAACCAATTTATCTGTTTCCCACAGTGTTGAGGTTGGTCCGTACCAGATTCTTCGTCCTCAACCTTTACGGGGTCAGGACTTCTATGGCTCTCGGTGGAACAATCATGGCCGATAGGTGTCCCGTCCAGCGGAGGGTCTTGCTGTGGAACTTCGCAAGCGGGCGTTTCAGAAGAGCCGTTGGTGTGAGGAGGGACAACGGTGGAAGCACGTGATGACTCTGCTGCATGAGACTGCCGCGGCTCCATTGGGCCGATGGGGTTGGCATCTGGATTTCTCTTGAGATACTGCCTGCGCAACACGTTTTGCCAGCTATCAGTACTATACCGGAAGCATTAGCAGAGATAGAGCACAGTAAGTCATAGAATCACCTTATTTTCCTGTCTTGAGTCAAAACTGTGAGCAACCGCTGCATTACGCGGGACAGGACTCGGTCGGTAGAGTATGCGAGGTCATTCTCGATATCCTGTGGGAGTGCAGGGTCAGCCGACAACGTTTGCAGGTTGGGGATGAGATGGGACACTGACCACGAGCGCGACATCAGACATGGCGAATAGCGCGTTGAACGTGAAGAAGAACTGGCTGAAGGCGGCCCATTTCCACTGTCGTCTGAGCTGGGAAACGTTAGGGTCGAGGGGGGAAATGGGTGGCTCGGAAGGGGGAGCAGGAGACTGATATGTTGTGGAAGAGGGGCAAATGACGCGGTTAGACGTGCGGCGAGGCATACGCGCAGCCCAGTTATGACTATGTGTATAAATTTAAAAGATCCACCAGTGACTTGGGCCTCTCAGACTGGATTTGCTGTAGGTGACACCCTGTACAGATATACGGAGCGAGACTTGACAAAGACGATACAATTAACGAACTAGTTGCAGCGATCTGTCGCTATCACTTACGGGGCCCAGGGGGAGTCCTTTGTGCACGCAAGACTCGATTTCTTCACAGCGCAAAGTTGGACCAGAGAGGCATTCCAGCCCACTTGCACCGCCACTCCCTACTACAATAATAATTGGCAAGGAAATTACCATAGCAATCACAGATTTCGTACACAAAATACACTATTTACTACGAATTGGCCCCCCTTTTGGCTCGCTGCCTCATCTTGGCTTTGGCCGCCTTCGATAATTTACGGACGTTCGGGGTCTGATATCTGTAGCGCGTAGCGTCAGTAGCAGCGGGTGTCAGCGTATAATGTCGTGCGTTACGTCTCCCTCTCCCCATGTCTCTCAAGGATGGATTTCGTGCAAAGCGTGATCTTCATGTACGGCGCAAGTTTCTGCTTCGGACTGTCTTGTCCGTTAGCAACTATTCAATCGTCGACCACTGTGGAGGGACGCACTGCGAGGAGCCTTCAAGAGCAAGGAGCAGAGCACTTGCCCTGTTCTCCCCCTCAACAGGCACTTGAGACCGCTCTTCGAATAAGAGCTGGTTGAACTGATGCAATCCGACCAGATGTCCTTCGAGGTACTGGCGTTTAATTATCTCAACCACCGATATGAGCTTAGGGATCGCCGAAGCAGAGGCCTCACTTGGGCCCGAGTAGAGTACCAGAGGTGTCTCCGGGTTCACCTGCTTTCACGTTAGTTATTACCGATTCTACGTGACCGGGTACGCACTTGAAAGAACTCCAGTGCTTTCTTCACCCAAACCCGTATTTTCCCGTGGCGAGTTACGCGTATACTAAATGTTGTGTCTGCACCATCATCGGCGACAGTTGCTTGAATGGCGGCCTGCTCGATGTCCATCGACCAATGAGGACAGGAAGCGGCGCTGGCACATGAATGCTGACCTAATACAAACGATTACATAATACGCATATTTTTTTGTTAGATTGTTTGGTCAGGCTTTTCGTCTGCGCCTTCCCTTATACCACGACTGAACGGCGTTCTCGCACAACTTGTCGACAACTTCTACGACATAATGGGCAGCTATGGAGGCGGTTCACGGTCAACAGACTGGTCATACCCACGCACAGAGCGTTTTGATAGGGGTTTTCACGATCAGGACAAAATGAGCGGGCTCGGTGGCGGACTTCGTCCCATTGACTGGTCGAGCCAAAAGGTTGAACGGTTTGAAAAAAACTTCTACGTAGAGGACAAACACATATCTGCCCTCTCCGATCGAGAAGTAGAAGATTTCAGGCGCTCCAAAGAAATCAAGGTAGGGTTTTCCGCCCGCTAGTGGACTTTCTAGTTCTCACCCCACCTAGGTCCAAGGTCGTGGCGTCCCCCGCCCGGTCAGGTCATTCGAAGAAGCGGGCTTCCCAGAATATGTCATGGCATCAATCCGTGCTCAAGGTTTTGCCTCTCCGACTCCTATTCAGTGTCAAGCTTGGCCGATGGCTCTCAGCGGGAGGGACGTTGTCGCCATTGCACAGACAGGCAGTGGAAAAACAATATCCTTTGCATTGCCTGCCATGCTTCATATCAATGCGTATGTTGTTTCTCTCTGTGCGTGCAATCTATTCTGACTCCCACCAGGCAGCCTTTACTGGCCCCAGGAGATGGTCCGATAGCGCTGGTGCTGGCTCCAACGCGTGAACTAGCTGTTCAGATTCAGCAGGAGTGCACCAAGTTTGGGTGAGTTTCGTTGGCTCGTATGTGTTAATCTCTCTCACCTGCTTATGTTCCTCAGGGCGAGCTCTCGTATCCGGAACACGGCTATTTATGGTGGTGCACCAAAAGGGCCTCAAATTCGCGATTTACAGCGTGGAGTGGAAATTGTAATCGCAACTCCTGGGCGGTTAATTGATATGCTTGAATCGCAAAAGACGAATCTGCGCCGTGTGACTTATCTTGTGTTGGATGAGGCTGACCGCATGCTCGACATGGGTTTTGAACCTCAGATACGCAAGATTGTCTCTCAGATTCGTCCAGATCGTCAGACACTGATGTTTAGTGCTACCTGGCCCAAGGATGTGCAGAAGTTGGCTAGTGTATGTTATGTCCATGCCAGTCCTGTGCCCCTCCACTGACATCTTGAAAAGGATTTCCTGAGAGATATGATCCAGGTCAACATTGGCTCGATGGAATTGACTGCGAACCCCGATATTCAACAGATCGTGGAAGTGTGCAGTGATTTTGAAAAACGGGCTAAACTTATCAAGCACCTGGACCAAATCAGCTCTGAGAATGCCAAAGTTCTGATATTTGTTGGCACGAAAAGAGTCGCAGACGATATTACCAAATACCTTAGGGTAGATGGGTGGCCGGCTCTTGCCATCCATGGTGACAAAGAACAGTATGTCGATTTCGTATCTATACTTGTGTTTACCCGTCACTAACATGTTTAGGCGCGAACGCGATTGGGTATTAGGTGAATTCAAGGCTGGTCGTTCTCCGATTTTGATTGCCACGGACGTTGCATCCCGTGGTTTAGGTATGTCTGTTTCCTCTCTGTGAGCGCTCCGACAGGGACTCCGCAAGCGCTCCCACAGGGATCTCGGCGCTTTGTCCTGTCTGCAGATGCGCTTATATGCAATCGGTTTGGGGTGTATTGATCATCTGTCTGCTCCATGTACTCTGCAAATCTCCTATTTTGCGCGCCGGGTCTGTCGTTATCAATCATGATCGAACCATTTAGATGTGAAGGATGTTGGTTACGTCATTGTAAGCGACAATCCCTTTGCCCTCTCAGACGAATTGACATCTTTTTGTTAGAATTATGACTTCCCTAATAATTGCGAGGATTACATCCATCGAATTGGTCGCACAGGAGTAAGTTGCTGTCACACTTCTTTAAGGGTCAGTCGACTCAACAAGCCGCAGCGCGCCGGCATGAAAGGCACGTCCTATACCTACTTCACCACCGACAACGCCAAATCAGCAAGAGAGCTCGTAAACATATTGCGCGAAGCGAAGGCCAATGTTCCCCCTCAGCTTGAAGAAATGGCAATGTACAGCGGTGGAGGTGGTGGACGTAGTAAGTACTGTCCTCGTTTAACGATATCTCTCTCTAACGTCGTTGTAGACCGTTATGGTGGAGGTAGAGGTCGGGGTGGTGGAGGTGGCGGTGGTCGTCACGGTGGCTATGATGCCTATGGTGGTGGTGGTGGTGGCAGGGAGCGCTGGTAAAGCGCGGTATTTGTGTTCGGCCTGGAGGGCAGGGGGATCGTTTGTGAGATTCCGTGTTACGTTAGAAAGCGCTATTATAGACATCGTGTTTGAGCATGAATACACCAGTATTGGTTTCCAGTTAAGAGTCGGTTAGGATTCCTTGTGCTTAGGAGCCCGGTCGAGCCGTTTGCTTCAGCCGATCCCTAACGAGGTGGACTAGCGCGCCTCCCTCAATACTCGTTTCCCATAACTCTACTTTGGCACATTCGATCTCTGCTATTAACTGCCGTTGTCGCTGCCGTGCTCGTTCGATGATGTCGTCGCGCGACAGTGTCGTTACGGCAGTCGTCACGCTGGTAGTTGGCCTCTTTCTCCTTTTCTCTTTGTCCGTTGCATGTGTTGGAGGATATTGAGGACCATGAAGTGTTTCTCCAGTTGCGTTGTCCCGACGCTCATAAGTATTCACATGGGGTTGATCAGCTTCTCGGTTTGAACTGTCAGGGATAGCGAGAACGGTCGGTAATCCAGAGCATGACATATGAGTGCCAGGAAGTGCGATGCTCCCGACCTCTGTTTCAGCAAGTGCTGTGGCCTCTGCAAGTTGGAGTGAACACCACTACGTCGAGAGATAGCTCAGAGCTTCACACCTGGCGGGGGTGACCCGAAAAGCGAGTCTGTGTCATCTTCGCTGGCAGACGACGGCGTGCGAGACATTTTTAAGAACGAAGATGTCGAAAGATTTGAAGACGTCAGCTTGAGTCGGTGGCTATACAGACGACCACCAACTTATCTCTCAGCCATTCAAGATGGTTCGACCCCGAGTCTTTTTCGACTTTGCTATTGGAACAGAATTAGTGGGCAGGTATTGCACCATCTACAACTCATCAGGAAAACCTGTAGACACGAGCTCTCTTCGCAGGGTTATTTTTGAGCTATTCAATGACACTGCTCCAAAGACAGTTGAAAAGTGAGCACATTCATATATGGCGCCGTGCTCTGGTTCAACGTTTAATCACGGCAGTTTTCGAGCGCTGTGCACAGGAGAGAAAGGCATATCTGCTGTATCTCAATGTCCGCTCTATTACAAGAACAGCATCATCCACCGCTCCATCAGCGACTTCATGATACAAGGCGGTGGTCAGTCCGAGCAAATTGTGCCGTTTTCTCAAAACTGACTCATTCAGATTTCACAAAGCGCAATGGAACTGGCGGGGAGTCTATCTACGGTGGCAATTTCCCAGACGAGGATCTATCCAGACCCCTGGACACGGAAGGGTTCGCCTATCCGATACGAATAATTTATTTTTCTTGTGTTGACTTTACTGCAGACTTCTTTGCATGGCCAACCGAGGGCCTGATACCAATGGTTCCCAATTCTTCATTACCCTTCGAGAGTGCCCCCATTTGGATGGCAAGTACCTTTGTTCCCAGTGCAAGCTCTTCCGCTTACTAGCTTCCAAGGCAAGCATGTTGTATTTGGAAGAGTGATTAAGGGATACGAGGAGGTCGTGAAAAAGCTGGCGGAGGTCCCTGTGGATGAGAAGTACAGGCCACAGCTTCCAATCGTGATCGTGAAATGCGGCGAACTAGAGCTTAGAAGAACCGGCCGTTCGACCGATGTCGATTGTAAGTCTTTGGTGTTCACACCACGGTGGTTATCCGCTGACTTCTTGATATCAAGCGAAGCGGTCAGAGAAATCGAGCAAACGCCGCAGAGCGCGATCACAGTCGAGCGGTTCAGAACGAGAGAGAAGAAGCCAGCGCAAGAAATCGAAGCGCAGAAAGAGCGAAAGCATTGTCAGAGACGTCCCACAGAACCAGAACGAGGTAGATATTCACAAAGAGACGGAAGAAGAGTATGATGCTCGACTGGAGCGCGAGGAGCGACAGCGTATTGAAGCTGAGAAGCGCAAGGAACTAGAACGTCTCAGTCGTGAAAGTAATTCTAAGAAGGATGGAGGTGTGCGATTCAAAGGTATGTTGATTTTGTATGAGTCAGTTAGTAACAGTTAAACGAAAAATGCAACAGGACGGGGAAGAATGAAGTTTATCGACCCAGAATTGCATTACCGGCAATAGCGACGTCTATCGAATACGACAGTTGTTTTGCCTCGGGCTCGTCCACATCAAACAACCAGGAGGCAGGAAACATGTTAGTGCACTCCGGGCCTAGACGGAATCCTGTACTACCCCTTCTGTAGTAGTTACCAACCCCCCTTCACCATCCCTTCTGCCATCACTGTTCACTGTCGGCACTTTTTTGCTAGCTGCGTTGGCGAAGCTAAATGAAGGTCTCACGTTCGATGATGTCGAAATGGGTGAATGAGATGTGGTAGGGCTGCTGACGGCTTGGGGTGGTGTTGTTCTCGTAGCACCAGATCGCTCAGTTGCTTGCCGGGAGCTCGTGCGAGACATGGAATGTTGCGGTACACGCTCCTTGATTGCCTCGCGTTCCTTCTCGAGGCGAGCCACGACTTCTCGTTCCTTGGAGGAGACGTCAACAGGTCTACCAAGGGGTTAGAATCGGAAACGGGGGAGAGGAGAATAGCTAACTTCGCAGCGCCAAACGGATTTGCTTTTGGGACGGGAGGATTGGAGGACATCTTAGGCGAAGACAACGGAGATGGAGTAGTGGAACTAGTGGAGGAGCGAGGAAGTAGCTCCAGTTTTTTGCGGCTGAGCTGGGGGGTCGGGGGAGTTGAACTGCTTGCTATATACCAAGTGTTCAAGCAGTCCTGCACGGACATAAGAGAAGGTGCACTTACGCGAGGTGCCTCCCTGAGCCCTTGCCCGCCCGCCACGCCAGTCCCCTTCGTCAGGGCCGCCATCCTTTGCCTGAAATGATTCATATCTGCCCCTTAAGCTGCCAAACCTTCCAGACGGCACTTCGTCAGCCAAGCTTGGCCTGAATTTGCTACCCATCGACCAGTGCTCGTCTCTATCGGCAGGAGAAGGTTGACCCTCTGGAGTGGACAGCCCGGAACCTCTTCGACTACTAGGAAGTACGTCTGGTTCAGGCACTTTTGTGAAAGGCCGTGATGACCTCCAATCACTGGCCTCATCGGAAACACTCGGCGGAGGGGGCATACGTTCACCCACGGGGCCTTCAAAGCGCCGTCGCGACGAATCACGAGGTCCTCCAGAGCTAGGCGGGGGAACTTCCCGACGCCAACTACCAGAGAATTTTGCGTCATCTTCCCCACCAGCAAAAGCAGACCGTTCTTTTGCTACAAGCAAATGTAAATTTATGAGCGTATGGAACGCATGTTACTTACGTGGCTCCGCAACGCTCACTCGAACGGTCCTCCCAGACAAGTTCTAGCACATAACTTGAGCAAAACATCTTTGCTTAATGGGCACATTCTTACCGTGCCTGTCCTTGTCAAGGCATCCTTCAAAGAGTCTAATTCAGTAAATTCGACGTAACCAAAGCCTTTGGGTTTTTCGTCACGGTCTTTAATAATTTTGACTGACTTGATCTACAAATTTTTCTAGATTGCCTGCAGAAGCTCAGTGAAAATTGGCACACCTCATGGGGGCCGAAGAACGTCTCTAATTCGTTTTCGGTTATATCGAAAGTGAGGTTTCCAACAAAAACTGTGTAAGGGGGGCGAGTTGGAAGCGGAACATCTTCGCGGGGTGAGATAAACTGGCGATCGGCTGTAGCGTGCGTAAATCGACATGGAAACATAAGCCAAGTGGTAATACATACACCGTTGAATAGCGTCGTCCCGTCGGCTGAACCGATCATTAGAACGAGAAAGCCGTTCTTCATCAGTCCTGATGGCAGCTGGTGCGTGGTGCAGCGATGAGTTAGACATGCGAGGAGTCCTTTAGACAAAAGTCGCTTACGAGCTGACGGGAGGGAATCCATTTCATCTGCCCAAGAACCGAAAGCTGCATGCGGGATCAGTGCGCAGGTTAGGATCTGCCTAGCCAGGAAGCATACTGCTATCGCCCAGAAATTCGTTGAGCGACATCTTGGATGCTTTGGCTTTTTTCGGCGCTGCATCAGAGTAAACACGCCATCTCCACATGAACTGAGTTGGCTCATACCCATGATTTGGATATTTTTTACTGATACTTTCTGTATCTGTGACACTGGACTGTTCGCTTGGACGATCTGAAGCAGTGAGATGACGCTCGTCGCAAGTTTGGCGGACACATCCCGGCAGCTGTCCGAGTTTCCCACGCTGCCACTGAATGCCCTCGCTCGTCATAACCACCATCGGACGTACCAGCCATCATGATCCTACTCGAGGTGAGTTCTATGGAATGAATGGTCCTGGACTCATCCATACGGTGTTCACAGTCTCACAACGTCATTATATATACCACTCTGGCCGAAAAGGCGGCCAAGTGAGTTCCCCATAACCAGCTGCGCACGATCTAACGAGCCCAAAGACCTTCATCTCTAGATGTGGTATTTGTAGATTTTGATGGTGTCAGGTTCCACATGTCCACACCGGAAAAGAAGACCGTGATACAGCTTTCCATGAGCATCCGTTGCTGGGATGAGCTTGCACAATATGGTGCACTCGATATCTTGAAACGGGAGTATGGATCGTTGATCAAGGCAGCTACCGAGCCCGAGTATAACGTAACGCTTCAAATTGACCTTGAACAGTTACCCGCTGATGTAGGTGAGCATGCCCACGCTAGTTCCCGAGTAACAGCTAATTTGCACACCAGAGAGCCGCGAAGCTATCATAAAGTCTGTTGCCCTGATCAAGCGGAACGTGTTGGGAGCGCCCTTCGAGACGGCTTTCAGAGAGCAGAAAGAATTGGAAGATTCGGCGGGTTCTAGGGGGCAGTTCATGCAAATCCATTATCGCGATGAGGAGGCCATCTACATTCGAGCAGCTTCGGATCGCGTCACTGTCATATTCTCAACTGTTTTCCGAGAGGAAACCGATAGGATATTTGGAAAGTTATTCTTGCAGGTAAGTGTATGTACCGTTTTGTGCGCGACAGTCTTCTGACAGGCATCGTAGGAGTTTGTTGATGCCCGACGACCTGGGATTCAGAACGCGCCTCCCAGTATCCAAAATGCCCCTCAGGTACTGTACTCTAATCGGGATCCTCCTCTTGAGATACGTGATTTGCCTGGCCTTCGGCACTCCGAAGACATAGGATACGTCACCTTTGTCCTGTCTCCTCGACACTTCGCCAAGAGCGACGCTTCATTCAACACCATTTCACACATTCAACTCTTTCGTGACTATCTTCACTACCACATCAAATGTTGCAAGGCATACATGCACTCTAGAATGAGACATCGCGTGTCCGAGTTCCAGAAAGTCCTGAATCGTGCAAAGATGGAAACTGCAACAACGGAGAGAAAGACTGTCACGTGTGTCCTTTCCGCTGTTGGCGTATTGCACTTCTATTAATCTTTCTTTCTTCAGGGGAAGGACCATGGTGTCTCGCTGAACTCGCGGATGGGATGTTCTGAGACGGTATCCTTCATCCAGGGATTGTAGAGGAAACCATAGCACGTCTGTACAATAGTCCTCTTAGGAGCGTTCCCGAAGGAAAGTACTGCAATTTAATGGAATGCTTCTGAGCTCGCAGGGATCTTTTCAGTCTGTTACAATGTTGCCGCCTTTTCACGAACCCAAGGAGAGAAGAGCTTTGTCCATGTGCACTGCCTCCCTTATGGCTTTTCGTAAGCGTACCCGATCTCCAGAGACCTGTCGTGCAACAGTCGGGTAACATCCCCCATAAATGTCCTTTGTTAGCCCTTGGAAGCTGCGGATTACAAGTGATAGTCCATCTTCTCAAAAAAAAAAAAGGTTCGACGGATGGGAGAAGTGAGAGCCCGCAGTCTGTAGCTTAGGAGGCTTGAAGGCAACATCAGGAAGCGAAAAAATGGTTTAAACCTGTTTAAACCCGTCACTGACTGGTCGTGACCGCGATTCCGTCATTCCCCGTCTCTCTGATGAAATATCATGTTCATGGACGCCAAGGCAGGACACCGCCAAAACGCAGTTCGCGTCAGGAGAAAGAACTTTCCCTGCGAAATATGAAAAGACAGACGAGCATTGTGCATCCCCATCGTAGTGGACTGATGATATAGACTCGGAGGCCGGGAACGCAAGCCTCGACCTCCTGTGAGGTTATGAGCGGAATGATCTCTTGTTCAAGTACTTTGTGAGCCATAAATAGGACACCTTCTTGGGATAGCTCGACTCAAGCAGGCGCTTAAGGATGACGTGCGTATGATCATGCAGAGACCAGGGCGGCCGAAAAAGTGAAGTGTACACAGCGGTCTGCCGGCCACGTCCACCCCTAACTCACCCGCAGTGTTACCCAGTGTGCGTCAATTCTCTTCCCGTAAGGATTATTGTCTTTAATCCTCCCACTCTGGAGGCAATCTATTAAATGGACTTCATCGACTCTACTCTTCTACAGCTGGGCTTTAGGTAGGCAAGCCATACTTCTTTTTCACAAATTCAACTGTCCCAGGATCCCCTGTGTTCTGTTTTTTGTGAGTAGCTGATGGCTGCGGAATAGAAGATAACGTACTTTTTCTAGGTCATCACTAATCTTGACACATGGCTGATTGTCGATCGAATACAACTTGATGACCATATTCAAAGCTTTACTCTTCTCCTTGTACTTGCTGCTCTTTGTGTGGAAATCGTTAGTGAGGAACGTCCCGATTCCGAACGAACCTAGTACCGAAGGTTGTGAGTTTCATGGCGGAAGAAGTCTTACGTTGCGCACATGGAAAACCAATCTCGGTGCATTGCTTTTTCAGTGCAAGGGCCTTTTCCAGAGTGACTGCATCAGAGTATATGATACTCTTTGTTCGGTAGTCAACCCCAACGCCTTCATACATTGCCCTTGCCGCCGGTGCAAACACTAGTGGATCGCCCGAGTCTTGTCTTAATCCCTGCCATTTAGCCACACGTTCTCGGTCTTGAGAGAACTCCTACTTTCGAGGTTCGCAACCAAGGTGGTTCGTTCGAAGGGAAATATGCGTACCTTGAAAAAGGCTTGGGTGGAAAATGTGTCAGTCAGTGCGACGAGTAGCTCATTGGGATATGTTTCCTCCCAGAGCCTCAGGGCTCGAATGTTCGCGTCATCGTAGCCTGTCAGAGCAGCAACCTGAAAGACAATTGTCTCGACGGGAATATCTTAAGAGTCATGGTAACAAGCTTACACCCATGAACCACTCGCTGTGGAGAGAATGGATAGGGAGGCGCCGAGAGAAAAGAAACAGAGTAACTTACTGAGCGATTGTCCCTATAGGAGCGATGTTGTATTTCTTCGCAAAAAACATCTAGCCAATTATTCAATAACTTTGCGAGGTGTCGGTAAGCAGCTAGTCTGACGTTGCTCGTGCCCGTGACTTTCCCTACTCCAGGGAATTTAGCTGCTGCCTTTAGTATAGAAGATATGACAAGATCCTGCGTGTGGCAGGACCGTCTGCGTCGGGTTCCAAATTCACTGAATGCGCAGTCGGCCTGCAGTAGCGCCTCTGCTTTGCGCTGGGCTAGCTCTGTCAAACCGATGTCATATTGTTTTACTCATATATCACCACGCCTTACCTTTCTGGCCACTGTAGTTCCAATCCGTCCTATCGATGCGGAAGTAGAGTTCGCTCAAACATGCCATCATAGGGACCTCCCACAATATAGTGTCCACCCAGAGACCTCTGGCTTCAATCTCTACGTTTCCCCATTGACCGTCCTCAGAGACGGGTATGAATTTGACGGACACTTGTTCTGTTTTGAAACGGTATTGTTCGAGAAAATCGAGGTATTTGTCTGTAAAAAACGGGCATTTGGTGGCCAACCACGCCTTCTCGTCACTTGTTAGAGAAACATCCTGGAAACCTGAGATGGGTGATCAGGTATGATTAGACTCGGAGAGTTGGTATATGGACTGTACTGGCGAGAGCACTATGAAATGCATCGATGCATCTACGGGAAAAGAAGACATCCTTGTCCCTGTGTGTAAACCGGTAGACAGCCTCCGCTTCTGGGAAATGTTGCTTAACAGCCTGCTGCATGGTGAACTTATGGCACACGTTAGCTGCTGAGACCGCTGAGGACAGACGGCATGAGGGCACCTTGTATAAATCCGAGTCAAGAATGGATTTGAGGCGGTACGGAGCGTTTGATTGGCCTTGGCCCATCGTTGGCGGTATGGAATGGTGCAACTAGGAGACTGGTTTCAAATCCCTGCACCCGCCGATGGAGTTATGTTTGCCACGCCAGCTAAGTTGGAGCCTCCTAAACTGATAAGATAAACCACATCTGAATCACGTGATATATACTACCAATGCTCTGTCGTTACCGGTGGACAGCAAGTATTCCGCACTACAGACATGGTTGGTGCTGCCGCGCTGCTCATCCGTTCACTGACATGGTTCTTCAGTCCTCCAGGATAGAAATCTTGAATGATGGTGGTTTACGATCTGACGGCAGGCGTCAATATGAGCTGCGAGATATCACCATCGAATTTTCTTTGCAGGGACATTCAGATGCCTCGGTCACGTTTCAGCATGGACTGACACAAGTGCTCGTTTCTGTCCTGGGGCCGCATGAGGCGAGGATGCGTTCACAAACTGCCCACGACCGCGCTATTATTAATGTGGAGGTCAACGTTGCCGCGTTCAGCACGGGAGAGCGGCGAAGACGCACAAGAGGTGACAAGTGTGTTTGCGCATCAATCTAGAGTAGAATGGCCTCGACTGACGTGCGTTGCATCGTAGACGACTGCTAGAGCTCGCCTCTACTATCAAATCGACCTTTGAGCCCGTTGTCCAGACGCATCTCTACCCAAGATCTCAAATAGATATTTTCGTTCACGTCATCCAACAGGATGGCGGTCTCCTTCCTGCCTGTATCAACGGCGCAACATTGGCGCTTGCCGCCGCTGGCATACCGTTGTCTGACTTTGTGTGTGCGATCACAGGTGGCGTACACTCAACGTCCCCTTTGTTAGACCTCAACACACTCGAGGAGAACGACGTTCCTCATGTCACCGTTGCTATGATGCCTCGTACAGAACGCGTTGCACTTGTGACAATGGAAACTCGTTTACGTGCTGAGAATTTTGAAGAGATCTTTAAGTTGGCTATTGACGCGGGCAAGGTTCTGTATATGGAGATGAAGGCTGCGCTTCAAAGACGCACTCGCGCGCTAGTGGTGGCATTGGGTAGCGGTTCCAAAGCAACGACACAAGCGACGGCGTTTGACGTAGACGAATTATGAATAATGACCAAGTAAGCATATTCCGGCTACTTTGACGCTCTTGTAGTTGTCTTCCGCCGAAAACATGCCAACCATTTCTCCCCACTGTTTCTCTCGACTTTTTTACCCTCTTCGGTGCTGTTGTACACTGCATCTAATATGGGCCCTTTGCCCTCTTCTCTCAGATCAGCCTCACTGACGCCTTCGAACAAAGGGAAACTTTCCAAGTGGCTATTCATCCACTCGTGCAAGTCGTGAACGTCTGTAATGGTGTAGACTATTCCCCCGGGCTTGAGAATGTATGCGTACTCGGCAAGGAGTGCTGGGGAAATGATGCGGGCTTTATGCTTGCGTGCTTTGAAGTGCGGGTCGGGGAACAAGAAAAATAAAGCGGAGAGAGAGTGCTTTGGGAAGTAGTTGGGAAGGAATTTCATCGCATTTGCACGAACTACCGATACGTTTTGGTAGGGCGTTGCGGTGATAGAGGTCAATGGCGGTGTGACGGATGTAGATGTCATGCGCAGTGCGGCGATACGGTCTTGCACGAACTGGGTAACTTGCACGCGAATTTCGAGGCCTAATACCGTTCAATTGAACATCGTCACGTTGAGATCAGCAAGTCTAATGTCGCATCTCACCCAGCATCAACGTATTAGGAAAGAGGGGTGCCAGCGCGATTAGGAGACCACCAAATCCACAGCCGATGTCAGCAAATTCCGGTGTTTTGCTAGTGTTTGCAAAGGCAGGGAAGTGCTCGCTCCAGTCCATCGTCTGGGGAGATATCGGATAGTCTAGGGCATGGTCAGAGAAGGGGTTGGCATGAGCACGTTGTCTGTAGTGCTTTTTCTATGATAGATCGGGGATGAGCGTACAAGGAGGAAAGAGTGGCGTGAACTGACTCACCTGAGGAAGAAGAGTGTTTGCGACGACGGCTGAAGACCGATCGGAGGGTCTTTTCCGCTTTCCCATCAGATATCTTGGCTGGAACGAAGGAACGTTGTCTGTCGTCGGCTTTGGGGGCACGTGACTTCGGGTACATAAAACGTCTCGTTCCGAAATTTTGCTTTTCCTCCGAACCTTGGATCCGCGCCATGGCTGCTGCTCTCCGTACACGTTCGCTCTTGCAGTCCAACCAGCGTTTTACTTCCCTCTCTCGGGCCAGTCTTCGCTTTGCTTCCACTGGGTCGAAGCCGTTGACGCTCAAGGAGCGATTAGCGGAGCTCATACCCTCCCAAATAGACCAGGTTGTTCTTACGCTTCCAGCCATTTGTTTTCTTATGCAGTCGTAATTCAGGTAAAACAAATACGTGCAGACCATGGCAAGAAGTCGTTCGGTCCCGTGTTGGTTGATCAGCTTTATGGGTATGTACAGTTTGTTGGGGTTTGCTCTCGCTTCAACTATTCTGTTTAGCGGCATGCGTGGTCTCCCAGCTTTGATTTGGGATGGTTCCGTTCTGGATGCCGGTATGATATCCATTCTTTACTGTCGTCAACGACGTTCATTCATCGTACGAAGAGGAGGGAATCCGGTTCCGAGGGAAGAGCATCCCCGAATGTCAAGCGCTCCTTCCAAAGGCTCCGGGAGGGTCGGAACCTCTGCCCGAAGGCCTTTTCTGGCTTCTCCTCACTGGTGAGGTTCCAACGCAGGAGCAAGTCAGAGCCTTGTCTAGAGACTGGGCCGCCCGTGCCGCTATCCCTGAATTTGTTGAGGAGATTCTGGACAGGTGTCCGCCTACCCTGCACCCCATGAGTCAATTCAGTCTTGCTGTGACTGCGGTAAGACAACATCCTTTTCATATGCCGAAACTGAGTTAACCTGCCCCTAAGCTTAATCATGATTCCGCTTTCGCAAGAGCTTATCAGGAAGGCATATCCAAGAAAGAATATTGGCAACCGACATTCGACGATGCCATGGATCTGTGAATTTTTCTTGTTATTCCCTCTCTAGTGCCTCGCTGAATATTTTTAGCATCGCAAAGTTGCCGAACATCGCTGGGCGAATATATCGCAATGCGTTTGGTGATGGCAAGGTGCCTGCAATAGACCTCGAGAAAGATTATTCGCATAACCTTGCGGCTCTTCTCGGCTTTGGAGATAATGAAGCATTTGTTGAGCTGCTTCGTCTGTATATCACCATCCACAGGTACGGTATTTTTGAAGTTTGTGTTGTCTCTCTAACTTATTCCCTCACCCGCCCCATAGCGACCACGAGGGCGGAAATGTATCTGCTCACACGGGTAAACTTGTCGGATCGGCTTTATCTGATCCCTTCCTCTCATTCGGTGCTTCCTTGAACGGTTTGGCTGGACCTCTTCATGGACTTGCCAATCAAGAGGTTCTCATTTGGTTGCGTAAAATGCAGTCAAAGATCGGCGAGAACGCTAGTGACGACGCCGTCAAAGAGTACGTATGGTCAACACTCAAGGCTGGCCAAGTTGTTCCCGGTTATGGTCATGCCGTCCTCCGCAAGACGGATCCTCGTTACACTGCCCAGCGGGAGTTTGCGCTCAAACACTTGCCTAATGATCCGCTCTTTAAACTTGTTGGCCAGGTTTATGACATCGTTCCAGGCATCCTTCTCGAGGTACGTGTTATTCTCACGGATGGCGCTTTGATGCTGAGAACATATTAGGCTGGAAAGGCTAAAAATCCATGGCCAAATGTTGATGCGCACTCGGGTGTTCTGTTAACACACTATGGCCTAACAGAGATGCAGTTCTACACAGTGCTGTTTGGCGTCTCCCGGGCCTTTGGAGTTGCTGCACAACTGATATGGGATCGGGCATTGGGTGCCCGTAAGTCGTCATGTCTTACCTGCTTGTTAACAACTGATGAGGCTCTCCCAGCGCTTGAGCGACCCAAGTCATACTCCAGTGATGCCATCCAGAGGATGTTCAAAGATAAACACTAGTCAATACCTATGTAACAAGGAAAAGGCATCAGCCACTAGTTAGCTGGAGGTAGAAATAGTTGAGGTATTTTGTGTTGGTTACAGCCACTTTCACAAGTTTGTAGAAAACGAACATGGCCGGCGCCGCCGGCAGGCACCTTGTTTACCCTGCTGGAGTGCTGCCCTTGTGGCATGTGCCACATGAAAGAGATGTACAAGCAATTGATTCATGTACCTATAGCATGGCCCACATGCATGATGATATAGTACACATACATTATGTGTTCATGACAGCAGTCAACCTCACACCTATGCAGTACCCTCACTTCCAAGGCATTGATGTCCTACCTTGAAATAAGACACTATTGTCTGGAAAACTTGAGTAGGGCAAAGAGTCCTTCTCATTGTGCTGCTGTTAAAAGTATTTCACTTCTTATCAGCATTACACAGGGAAATGACAGAATCTGAGCCTAGAGACTGGGAGCAGTGCTGCATCTTCTGATCTGAGTGCTGTGAAGACAGCAGGCCTGACAAAGCCACTTCCCACCTGCAACAGTGCCAATCCACTCCATGGTGAGAACCCACCATAGTCCAACTACACACTGATAGACCTGGCAACTGTGGTAGCAATGGCACTCAACTCCAATCACCAGTGGCATCTTGTTTAAGGATTGCCACACACTGTCTTCTCTGCACCTTTCACAAGAGTTGTTGGTACCACACATATACAAAGTGACTCATTCAAGGCTATATAATCTTGCTTGTTTCTTGTGCATTTGACCTGTTGATGGATGATTCTCCCCAATGCCCAAATCCCATAGAAGTGGGAGAGGTGCAAACATATGTTGTTTAGTATGTGTTATGCCTGAGTGTGGTGACTTCTTCAAATGGAATAGGCATGAAGCACGTGAGGGGGAGACTACGGGCTGAACTTGTTGTAACCCCTATGGCTCAGTTATCCCAAAGATCTGACAGAGGTTCTGTCTGCTGGTGAGTCCCTAAGGTTGTTCACACAGAGAGAGAACAAGGATCGACAGGAAGGAAGTTAGCTGAGTTGCAAGCTATCAAAAAACTGCAGATACAGGATGAAGTTCATAGGTTTATATACCTCTAACTACGAGTACCATACCAGTCATGACAGATGTGTCGTGACGTGTATCCACAGTAGTCAACAGAACAATCAGTCAAATAAATAAGAGTCATATGGTGTCAATGATGGGGTAGGGAGGCAACGAAGGCTATACCAGCTGGTGCAATCAATGCACAGCGAGGAGCCAGACACCAGAACTATAGTACAACATGTGAGCAATATAAATGAGTCACAAAAGAGACAAGTCGTCCATCAAGGAGGCGGTGGAACACTGGATCACAGTGGCAATGAGGTCTCCGCTGATATTGGAAATACATTGACAGTGGGGGAACCAAACATTCCCTGGAGCATTTGAGCCCCTAGGATGGCAATGGTTATTAGGGATGCAACAAGGCATGTGACACACATGACCACGAGGAGTCGAAAAAGGAAAGACCCCTGATGGAAGCATAACATCACCCCCCCTCTAAGGTCCTCAGACCCTTGAGGACGGACTGGAAGATGCATTGGGTGGACAGGCAGAAAGGGGTCAGCAAGTAGTATACACACAGGAGTGCATGTGAGTGGTGATGGGCGACGAAGGTGATGGAGACGATGGTTCCTCGAGGGCCAGAGTAAAATGGGAGCCACATCCATTGTGGCATGACCAATGTCCCAGGTAATGACACTGGAAACAGGTGTGGACACACAGGGGGTGTCCCTCAGGTACTGGGGACTGTCCTCCAAGGTAGAAGCAAAGTTGATCTGCAGGGATGGGGACAAAGGGAGATGCAGGGAGAGGGTCGGTGGAGTGGATAGCATTATGATAGTGTTTGTGCATTCCAGCCCATGACACATCCTGCAGTAAGACCTCCCAAGCAGAGTTGTGAGTCCCTGTTCCCAAACAAGCACCAACCTCTTTATACAAGTCACCCAAGTTGACGAGCCCTATTTCCATGACATGCCACATTGTTTCCTTCTCCTGATCTGAGAGGTCTTTCTTGTTGTGTTCCAAAACTGATGGTTCCTCTTGTTTTGGCTTGATGCGATCAAGAAGGTGAGAAGCCAGTGGGGCAAGAAGGCCTTCTTGATGCAAGGTTTGGAGATGATGATAGGCCCCTCCTGTGATGGCCTCAGTGATGTCTGTGGATCCTCTTTCCAGCATGTCGATCATGATTACCTCCAATAACGCTGCGGTGCCTGCTACTTTTCTTGTCCTAATTTTTGACATGGCTGCATTGATTGGGTCTGTCACTCTGTAGATCTGAGACAGCAACCTAAAATATTCAACCTGTTCTGGTGTGCACCCATCAATGTTGTCCCTGTCATGGAAGATGTCAAGTGACTGAACAACGTCCAAGTAGTCACCTGCTGAGATTGGTAATCACAGCTGGTCATCCCTGGAAGAGGCTGTGCTGGCAAGGAGTTTGAGTGCTGACCAGTCAGTGCAGTCGGGGTAGGTGCAGAAGGAGGAGTGTATGTTGGAAGATTGGGCAGCATTGGCAGTGTCATCTGCAGAGGGTCCACAATCGGGGTCATCATCAGCACATGCTTTACCCTTTCCTGATTGGTTACTGTTCCCACTGAGGGGGACTCTGGCCTTGGGGATGGGAGTGTGTTTGACCGAGAAGCCCTGGAGTGGATGTGGCCCTCGAGCTCAGGGGATAGGGGGTGATACCAAGCGGGGCTGCAACAGCAGTGATGAGTATCCAGAGATATAAAAGCTGGTGGGGGATGTAGGAGGTGAGGTTGGGGCATAGACAGTGATTGGGGGTATGACCCCATTGTTGATGGGGTCACAAAAGGATTCTGCAGCAGGGAGGTCGGGGTAGTCATTTTCTGTGTTAATGGAGCGAGGGGAGTCCATTTAATTCTGAAGATGTTGAGCGAGCTTGTACTGAGAGAGGGCTTCTGATGCGTGGTCTTTTATATGTTCCTTGGGTTCCCAAGTATTTGACGAATGAGGGAACCCTTTCCATTTAACCAAATAGTGTCATTTACCTCTGTGCCCATCCATCTTGTGATTAATTATTGATTCGACCTCCCATTCAATCTTGTCATCAACCATTTCTGGTAAAGGGGGAGGCAGGGCCACTCTGTATGTGTCATTTTCAGTGAATGGAAAGATCCATGAGGCATGAAATACCAGATGAACTTTCCATGACTCAGGGAGCTCCAGTCGGAACATGACGGGGGAAACCACCTGAGTCACTTTGAAGGGTCTGAGACATCTTGGCACAATCTTGTCGCACTGGTTTTTGATGTGCAGTTGGCTGGTATCAAGGAGAACTTGATCTCTGACCTTTGGCGCAGCATAAGACCCTTTTGAGCATGAACACATCAGATCTTGTGCCTTTTTATGTGTGAGGATGGTGACATCCCAGTTGGAAGCGAGCCTTTCCAGTCTTTCATCCACAGAAGGGACAGCAGTGAGCTGTACTTCTGGGTAAGGTGAGGGGTCATATCCGAGCAACAACAAAAATGGTGTCATTTGATGGACGGAGTGTACTCAAGCATTATGGGCAAATTCAGCAGAGGGGAGTTTTGTGGACCAGGAATTTGGCGCTTCAGCACAGTAAAGGTGCAAATACCCTTCCACCTCCTGGTTGACCCATTCACTTTCTCCATTGGTCTGCAGGTGATACACAGTAGAAAGTTTTGTTTTGACCCCTATTGCCTTGTAAAGTTCCTTTGTGAATGCAGAGGCAAACTGGGGGCCTTGATCTGAGATAACTGACTCCGGGATTCCATATCAGGAATATATGAACTGATGGAATAGTTGGGCAATTCCAATGGAGTCAATAGTCTTGTGGCACGGAATGAACAGGGCAGCCTTTGTTAACCCCTGATCGACAACCGTGAGAATTGAGTCATATTGAGCTTCTCCTGAGACTGGGAGATCCATGATAAGATCCATGGATATTTGCTGAAACGGGAAGGTGGTTTTTGGGGTGTTGTGTGGGATGACAGGGGGAGTTGGCAGATGTGTGATGACCTTGGTTGTCTGGCATGTGGGGCATCCTGCAACATAAGCTTTAATATCTCTTCCCATACCTTCCCACCATACTTCCTTTCTCATCTTTGCAAACATGGCTTTTTGTCTGGGGTGTCTGGTGGACTCATGGTCATGGTAAGAGCGCATGCAGTGTTGGCGATGATCAGGAGGGATGTATAACCATGTTGTCCTGAATCGTTTTGTTCCATCTTCTGTGATGGTAATGTTGTTTCTGGGTTCTGGACCTGATGAGTCCTTGATTGCATCATTTTTGATGTGCTCATACAGGTCTGTCGAGATGGCATAAACTCCCCATGCTCCTTTAACTGGTGGTTCCTCAGAAGGATGAGCATCAGGCAGCCAATTCCTCTTTGGTGTATCCTCAGATGGGCAGGAATATGGCTTGGAGTTGTTATGTGACCAATTTAACCAGGAAGGAAGTTGTCCAATGTGACAGAGACAGTTTATTTTATGTATTTTATGTATTTTTGTTAAGGAAAAAGAGGGTGAAATAAGGCGGATTTGGGAATCCACCCCCTTTGAAAGCCAAAGGTCTGGGGGAAGGACTGTGGCCATGGGGGCAGGTTCCTCGAGAGTGCCTTTGTGTGAAAGAGCGTCAGTGGGGACTTGGAGGTGGCCAGCCTGCCAAGAAAACTGGATAGGATAAGATTGGATAGTAGCAGCCCAATGGGCCTGGTGGGGGGTAAGTTGTTGGGGCTTGTGGTAGTACTTCAAGTTCTTGTGGTCTGTAAAGACCACCGTAGGTTCGACTGGGGAGAGGAGGTAGGGGCGGAAAGCCTTGAGTGTGCAAATGACAGTGAGCATCTCCAGGTCATAGACCTGGTAGTGCTGTTTGGCACTGACCAGGGATTGTGAAAGGTAGGAACACAGGTGCCATTCATTGTCAGCTCCCTTTTGGGCAAGGACCGCACCAGTCCCAAGTTTCAAGGCATCTGTAAAAAGGGTGAAAGGCTTCGAAAAGTCTGGGATAGTGAGGACCAGAGAGGAACATAACAAAGACTTTAACTTTTCAAACATGGCATTGTGTTCTGGTGTCCACTGGTAGGGCACTCCTTTTTTTGTTAGGTCATGCAGTGGGCGAGCAACACTTGAAAAGGAAGGGATGAATTTGTGATAGAAGTTGCAGAATCCTAG